ATCCGATGACTTGGTCAACTTTGTGGGGATCATTCCAAACAGGGTGGCGACTGTGGGCGAGGACCCCATCTATCCTCGTAGGGCACATCAGTCCGATTGTGGGGTTCCTTTTGAGGGTTCACATTTCGAGGTCCCTTGGCAACCACCGGAGAAGGGAACTCCAAAGGGATACTGACCGTACCCTTAAAACACACCTGTGATAAGAGCCACAAAAAGCAGCTACCGAAAACCGGACTCGCCTCTTCACATTCCAAAGCGCCAGCTGCCCGACATCCCCCCTCGAAAAAATAATTGCAACGAACGAAAGTGTAACCAAGATTGGTTGTGTAAACATTTGGGTGCTTATCCAAACATTCCCAACAACATGTGTGGGTTCCTACCTTTGAGAACACCCGTTTGAGTGTAGAAATGATGGTGTACGTTCTAATTGGGACCCTTTGGCGGACATCATATCTGGCGCGACTCGTGGGACTCATGTCCAATCACTTTGGAGGGTATTCCTCAATTTCAAAAGCCATGGCCATTCCTCATTAAAAACCATAGAATCCAAACAATGAGCGCGGCTTTCCCTTTTGCCTCCTCTTTACCCCGTAAAGGGGTTACCCTGCCTGCCACGAACGTGGCATGAATCAGGGTCCCTTCAGGACATTGATCTTCCACCCAGAAACATTCGGATCCCCTTTAGTGGACAGGAGGGTTCTCAACAAAAGCAACAACTCAATGCGCTCAACGACTCAACAAAAGCCAACAAACAAAAAACAACAAACAAGTCTTGGGTTGAGGGCAAACAGTCAACAAATACAAACAAACAAACACAACAGTAAAACAACAACAACCGCAACAACAACGGGAAAACAAAAAGGACTACCCCCCAACCAAAATCCCTCACTCCCTTCGCCCGGGTCATGAAGGCGCGGGCGTTGTGGCCCGTGATGGCATCCGTTAGCAGCCACGTCAGCGCCGAGTCCCGGCTGGGGATGTGATCCCCGCGGCCGCCTGCAGCCCATTCCGCGTGCGTGCGCCGCGCGCGCGCGGGAATCGAGGGCGCCGGGTGGAAGTTCAATGAATTGGAGGCACCGGGGTTGACCAGTCCTTGGGGGGGGGCCATCAAAAACCTGTTTTCATCAAAAAAGGTTTTTTGGGGGGTCTACCCAAAACCAGGGAAAGATTTGAAAAGGTCGCCTGGTATTAATGGGGTCTAGCTGAAACTAGTATGAATTAGAAGGGCACCTGGTATTGCTTGGCCGAGCATAGACCCGTCGCAAGAGACTGATTTGTTTGCTGGCGCAAATGGAATAGTGAGGAAGCCCCAAGGACAAGGAGCTAAACAGGCAAGCTAAGTCTGGTAATGATTACGGGGGTCTACCCAAAATCAGGAAAATAACTGAAAGGGCAGTCGCGCCTAGATTGTTGGGATTGTCCCCCACCTTCACTTGCCCGGTTTTTATTCTTTAATGAAAACCTCGGATCTCACCGGGCAAAACAACTTTTTGCGCACCTGGGCATGGAGACAAGCCTAAAGCTTTTGCCAACTCGGCAACAAAAAAAAAGAGCCGATAGACTGATGAGTTGGGTATGTCCTTTCAACGACGAGAGAAACGCTTGCTCACTTTCAAATTCGAATTGGTCCATGTTAGCATTAGCTGGCTGGTGCTTGGAAACCTCCAAGTTGCCTTTTTCCTCGGGAAACGCAGCCAAATTGGCAAACCCTTGACCAACAGTTGCCTGTATTTCCAACGTTTCACCCTAGCCAAGGAACGACTCATCTAAACGCAAAAGGATGTTTGCAACCAATATTGTTTGAACATATTGATTGATGTTTCCCAGAAATAGATTACCGTTGACATGCCCACATGTTCCTCCTGCTGTCCGGTTGCTAAAAATGGGGCCAAACCACCTACGGAACCCTTGAAGGTTTCGCTCTGAATTTCTGACCTGGCAGCGTATTGCTTCTTGGCAGCGTATTGCTTGAAACCGGCCTTGAACATCCTTGAACTTCCCCAAACATATGTTTGATTCTGGACCTTTGTCGGTGAAATTGCGACTTGCTGGGCTCAGCAGGGAATGAGAAATGGAACTGGTGGCTTCCATTCTTTCAGGGAATCCCCAGGTTCACTTCTTCCTTCCCTACCCTTGAAACCAGCAAGGAAAATGCCTGAAAGCGATCGTGAACACATGCAGCTGGACCCACCGAACCCCAGGCAACGGTAACTCTGGGCCGCCCTGCGGGCCAAAGCGCCCACCACCCGTCCCAAGGTGGACAGGCTCAAATTGATGTGCGCTCCTGCGGCTGACTCAATCACCCCTCGGACAAAGACGGGGACAAAGGCCCCAAGAACCGCCTGGTTTCGTGGAAACGTCTCTCGCACGAACATTTATTAACATGGTTGATTCATGGCATATGCTATCAACCACGGGTTCATAAGATTTCAGATCCTGTCTAGGGTTCTAAATAGGCGGTCGCAACTTAAATGGAATATGATGTCCATGTCCCGACATTTGCTCAGGCTAAGATTTGAAATTATCTGTTGCCTGGACCTGGCCCCTCAACTCCCAGTTCCATTCATCTAGCCAAATGGTCTTCCAGTTAGGAAAAGTTACTGCTGCATAACCCAGACCTTCAGTGAAAGGAAAAAACGATGAAAACCACCGGAGGTCTGTTCTAGAAACCATGTCTTTGATGCAGCTCTCGCCCAAGGCGCAAAAAAAAAACAGTGCGAGGAGAATGTAGGCGTCAATTTGGACATTACTTTTAGTTGCGGACCTTTTGGCGGACATCAATTAGGATACTGTAGAAATTGTGTCCATCACTTTTGAGGTGGTGCCGTATGAGCCTTCGTGGCAATTGTGAGAAGCAAAGTTTGACGTCCAGTTTCTGGTGCAAGCTAAGATGAGCCACATGGGTCCCAGTCTTGCAGTGACCATAAACACCAAGGGAAGCAATGTACAAACTGGAAGGCACCAATCCTGACAACCCTAGTAAGTATGGTAACCAAGTGATGCGGCATCCCCCTTTCGGACACCCCGCGATGAACCTAAGAGAAACCAAGGACGAAGTTGGGGCAACTCGCCATCCTTCTCAGGTCCTTCTCGAAGCTGCTCCGTGTTGGTGGCGTACTGGCCCGACCTCCGTGCGCTTTCCGAAAGAGCGAGCGGAAAGCGGCGGAACAGGGCGGACTCGCTTAAAAGAAGCGGGACTTGCGGCGGAGCTTGTTATTTGCGAAAGAACATACAGTTTGTGCTACAATAGGATTTGGACCCACAAAGTCAATCGTCCTGTGAGTGATTCATTCTAGGCGGCCATTGAAGGAACCTGAAAGAACCACGGCCAAACAGTTGGCCTGTTCGAACTCGCCGAAAGGAGTATGTTGCCACAAGGCCGCGTCTTTCCGTCACACTCGTATGGGACACGTGCTGGTTGTTTTTCTCCGCAGCGAAAGCAATCCTGGAACAAAACAACACGGACTCAGTGAAACAGCCATTGGGTCCTGGACAACATCATACCCAACTGACATGGAACCCAATGGAGGTGGATGGAAGACCTCCTTCTCCTGACGCTTCTCATCTTCCAAGAGCGCCCTCCGCCCTCCCACACGAAGCTCACTGGAAATCAGCAACAAGTATCTTTGACATGGTTCTAAGGGTTGAATTTCCCATTCTTGTTGACCATCGTTCTTTTCGAAAACCGGATCCGTTTCCTTGTGTTTCCGGAGGTTTTCTAGAAAGATTCGGATGCCTGGAAAGAATGGAAATGAAGGTAGCACTAGAATTCTTCCCTTGAAATTCAGATGGAGCCCCGAAAGCAAAAAAACAAAACCTCCGAACCCAAAGGAGGATTCCTCTACAAAGGATGGTTCTGGCAAAATCCATGTCAGTCTGTGGCGCCAATGATTTATTTTGCTCGGATCCGCATTTCCCTCCCCTGCTTTGCAAGTTTCAATTCAGCAGGTATCCTTGGAGCCAGGATTGGGCCAAGCCCTGGATTCAGCGTGTAGAACCTTCCCATCGCGCCATTGGCTCGAAGTACCGAGGCGCCGCTCGGAGCCCGCCAGGTCCACGATGTAGAGCCGCGTCTCTGCGCCTGATCGATCCGGCCGAGGCGGCCCCTAAGCTGGCAAGGGGAAAAAGAGGACTTTGTGTAGGCAAGGCAGTTATGAAGAGGTCCACTTTAGCAGGTAACCTGGCATTTTGCTGGCAAGTGGGGGGAGCTTTCGTTGGGCGAGGAACTTAGTATACAGAGGTCAGCAGTTGAACTTCATTTGGTAGACTAGCGGATGACCTATTGTCAAGTACTCCCCCTCGAGGCTTGCCCAGAAAGGGCCAGAATGATGGTTGTTTGGTTTCCTGTGAATCTGCAGGGGAGCAGTAGCAAATAGCGCACATAGCAGGCAACCAGGAGAAACAATCCTGCAAAACCTAGATGCCAGAAACAATGGTTACCTGCTATACTGGGAACTGGGAGAAATTGGAAAGGCGAACCCCTAGCAAAAGGCGCATCTCCGCTAGTCGTCACTGGTAGCGCTACGCGCTTTGACGAGGAACACACAAGCTTGTCTTTTGGGACCTTGAAAGGAAATGGACCAGATGGGGAAACCCAAAGGTTGGAAAAGCAGCTTGGAACAATTGCGGGGTAGCTTGAACCGCTGCACTTGGCGTTTAGCGACACGGTTTCGCTGCCTTGGTTCCCGCCCAGCGCCGCAGCTTGCAAGGTCTTCTTTTCGCCGCTTCTGGTGCTCCCATTGTTGCACCAGTGAGACAAGGACTATCAACCGCCGGAACTTCAACAAATCAATGACGCATGGGCTAACAGTGCCATATGTTTCACTATGTGTCATGGTGAAAGAACCCTTGTTGTCTTTGATAGCCCGAATTGGCTCGGGCTCACGCCTCTTTGCTATTCCAAGCTTTAGAGTCGACGTCTCTGGCGATAGGATAAAAAGCCGCTGGCGGTTTCCGCCAGCCCCGGGCAAGCCTCTGCCGCGGGTTTTGGGAGTCTAAGCTCACATGAAGGGCCAAGCCTGTCCGGTCATGGCCGCCTGAGTCACGATGCCGCTGAAGGCGAACATGGCCAGGCGCCCGTTCTCCAGCTCCTTGAGACGCATGTCCTTCTCCTTGGCGGGCTCCTTGGGCAAGAATTGCTTGCCCAGGAAGAAGTCTCCGGCGTCCCGGTTCACCTCCATCTCCTGCATTGGTCCGAGGTGTGAACCCCGTGGAATGATGTTTGCGAGCGTATGAAGCCTGCCCCCACTTGAGTCATGTCTGGGTACAGAAAAGAGGTCGGTCCAATGTGAGAGCCCTCATCTTTGGGGAAATGAAGTCTAGCTTGGGGTAGCCCAAAAATGGAGCCCTTACAAATGGCTGGCTTTCACGGTCCCTTCTGCTAATCAAGTTGCTTGTTTCCACCTCAGGACAGGGGGAAAATAGGAATAGAGCTGGTCCCCCCTCTCGCCTCCAAAATGACCAGAAGACTCAGACTATAGCAACTTGAAGCGAGCCGGCTACAGAGTGCTCTTTGGCATACCTCTGAGAAGAAGCCTACACTTGTTGGAGAGTGAATGTGAAACTATGCATTTTCGAGCCAGCGACACATGTTCCATTTTCCCACGAGGGAACCATGTTCCCTCAAAAAGTACAAACCCGCTGGGTGTTTCCTAATTTAGCTCTCTTCAAACAAAAGGAGCATCTGCAAAGCTTCTCCAATAATCAAATGAAGCATCGGCAAAGCTATATACGTAGGGTTTGTTTCAACTGCCTTTGGTTCATCCCAACCAAACTTTTTGCTTCCGACCGGAAAAGACTTGCGGCTACCCGAGTTGTGCCCCAAGCTGTTCCTCCAATCAAATGAAGCATCTGAGAAGCTATTGGCTAGACTCAGGAAAAGGGTTTCAACCGCCTTCATCCCAACACCAAACTGGGTCAAACTGGGTCGTCAGGCTTTGTTCCAACTACCTTTGGTTCATCCCGCAACCAAACTCGATCCACCAATTCGACCGGAACTTTGTAAAACGTCCAAGGCGCCCAGCCCCAACTCACCAATTCAGCCATTTGACTTGGCTACCGGATGAAAAAAAAAAACGAAGCCAAGGCGCCCAGCCCTTGAAGAAGAGCCAAAGGGAGTAGAGCTCAAAGGTGCCCACGGCGCCCAGGAAGGGAGCCATGAGTCCCGCCTCCACCATCTTGTCGTGGGCCTCACAGGCTGGGATGAGGGGTTTAATTGGTCCCATGGCACCCAGGTACTCTTGGTTACGGAGGGTTTTGGACGCCCGGCTTCCTTCTAGGGTTTGGCCAACTCCGTCCACATTCAAAAGAAACACACCCATCTCCATGTTTCTCGGTGGCGACATCTGCGAAGCCCTGCTAAAAGCTTTTCAATTTTAGTAGTCTAATACGGAAAACCAATTCGTTGGCAAAAAGTTGAAGTCCTAACATCCAAGTAACATGCCCACAGAGTTTTAGGACCCAGTTTTCGCAGCCCAGAAGGCTGGGTTCACTGGTTTGCCTGCTGCTCCAAAGGGAATCCTACAAACAAAAGGGATGTCCAAAGGGCCCACGTGGGCGTGAAGTTCACGCGCCAGTGCCCACCCAAATAGCCTGAAACCTCTTGCACCCATGTTGCCGTGCGCCCATCCTGTCAGCCTAGGAAATTGGGGCTCCACGCGTATTCAACCATAACCTTCACCTACATTTGGCTGTGGCTCAAAGTGCAACAGGAGGGGCAAACCGCAGGTTTTGGTCCATGTTTCCACTTACCAGGGTTCCATTTTGGTACCATTTGCCCTTGTTCCCAGGAGCATGAGCCTAGACCTGTGGCCACGGGAGAAAAGCCGCATAATCTTGGCAGCGGCTCTAAAGTGACCCCCGTCCAAAATCAGACAAAGAAAACCAGCCACGGAATCTCTTGGATGAGCCATGCTTCAAGGGCAGTTTGAGGTTTGTTTGGAGGAACACCTGCACCTGGCTTTTTGCCCTAGCTGGACATTCTACACTGATTCCAAGCCTAACCCAGCTCTTCCTCTAGGTGGTTACATGATGGTTTTTTGCTGGTTTCCTACCATGGTATATAATTGGAAGCACTGGCTAACAGAAAGGACCTTCATCACGAGCTTCCATATGGGCTCAAAAAGCCACTCGGAGCCCAGGGATCCGTAAAACAACAAAAAACAAAACAAATGGACCCGCAATCGACCCGAACTCAGCACACCCCGTTCTTGTCAGATGCAACCCGTCCGAATCAAAACCGCGAATTCGAATTCGCCTCCAGGGTGGTCTGCACGGACTGGAACTGGTCCCCAGGGAATCGCATGCCCAGGTCGGTGGCGATCCAGCCCACCGTGGCCAGCATGCCTAAGCCGCATGCATGCCATACGCTGTGCCGCCGGGTGGGGGGGGAAGGAAGCTGTTTGCTGGGAAGGGCAACCAAAAGGCAAACCACACATTTTCCAGGGGTTCATCGTTGTCAGTCAATGAACTCGATCTTTTATTGGAGACCAAGGATACCAAAGGCGCAAACCGTCCAAATCGGACAATCACGAAAAACAAATTGAGTAGATTACGGACGGCTTTGTGTTGAAATCCAAGGTATTCAAGTGTCTTTGGTGGGCAACCCCTTTCGATTGGTTCCCTTTTGGTAACTTAACCACAAGAAAAAAGACAATGGACTGGGGAATATTGGAGGGTCCGCCTGGCTTTTGCAGGACATTTCGGGCACGTCCATGTCCCACAATGAACCATCAACTCGGAACGCCACACCTTGAATACGAAGGCTTTCGACCCCAAAGACCTCAGATGGACTGCTGGGTTCGCATGGTTCCTAGGGATGGACTGCCTCACGAATCAAGCGAGGCGCAGACGCGGCCGTGCTTGAGCTCCGCCTCGCGGACCCAGTAGACCGGCAGGGCGTCCGTGACGCCCAGGGGGTCGAAGCCCTTCTCCTCGCCCACCCAGCCCTTGAGCACCTGGCGAGAGTGGTGAGGGGGGGTGGGGGTGGGGGGGGTGGGGGGGTGGAGTGGTGGTGAGGGGGCTTTGCAACCAACACCTCCGTTTGCTTGAGTGGGTGGAGTGGTGATGGTGGTGGTGGCGCTGGTAGAGGTGGTGGCGGCGGCGGCGGCGGTGCTGGTGGCGGAGTGGTGGCGTGGTGGTGGTGAAGGGTCTTTACAACCAACACGTCCATTTGCTTAAGTCCCCAGGAGAACGTATTTCCGGTAATTCCCTTTAAAGCCAACCGGGAAAAACAAATATTCAATAACCCTGGGTTCAGTTGCCACGATTAAAATCAGGGGGTGAATAATATACCCACCATTGTTTACCGTCAGGATTGGTCATCTACATCGGGTGAATTCCATTATTTTAAGGGCTGAATCCTAGGGCTGGGTCATAATCATACAAGAACCATGCGGCAATTGTTTCGCCTTTTGGCCGGTGATCCACGACGCCCAAGGGTGACTTGGTCTCCTTTTGGTGATTTGAAAGGAACAACACACCTTAAGAAAGCCCCTTTGCTTGGAAATTGCAGTTGACACCTGTGCAGGGTTGTGGGAAATGACCACTTCTGTGATACAACAAAAAGGGCTTCCCAAAGACTAAGACCCCATATACAGGGGGAGATTCCCTTGTATCACAGAAGTGGGAATAAACCCCTTGATTCCACAACCCTGCACCTGTGGGTTCCAACTGCCTCGGCGCCCAACTCATAGGCATATTTCTTAAGGCTGTCCTCCTCTGATGAAGGGGACCGAAACAAATGGGAACACGGGCGCCAAGTTTGAGAACTTGTTTTTGTTTTTGGGGGGAAAGGGGGGACATCTCTAAGGGTTGATTCCTTTTCCATTCTTTCCAACCATTGCTCTTTTCCAAGACCGGCCGTTTCCCCGGGTGTCCGGAGGTTTTGGAGAGAATGGACATCCCTGGAGAGAATGGACATGGAAGTGTCCCCTAGAATGACCTCTCCACGACCCTTGGAAAAAATGGGTCCATGCCCAATAACTTGGGTAATGACCAACCATGACCTGATTATTTTTGGGGAATGACCCCTAGCGCTACACCTCAACATTTCGCCCCATTTCTGTTTTGGTCCAACGCGCCTGAGGGTATCTCAGGAAGGGAACCGCCGCGGACATCTCCATCTCCTGCACGTTCCGTAGCGGGAATCGAAGCTTTTGTGGGTTTACCGGAAAAGCCATTTTTGTGTGTATGTATGTATGTATGTAATGTAATGTAATGTAATGTAATGTAATGTAATGTAATGTAATGTAATGTAATGTAATGTAATGTAATGTAATGTAATAATGTAATGTAATGCGATGCGATGCGATGCGATGTCATGTAATGCAATGCAATGTAATGTAATATAATGTAATGTAATGTATGTAGGTTTATGGCTTTCTATGGGTTCGGGTCAATCAGGAAGGGTGTGTCGTTTCTTTTGGGGACTACCAAATGGTGGTTTCTTTTTGGCTGCCCCTTGAAAGACACAACCATGGGGTACCCGCAAGGGGATTTGAGTCCACCAGGCGCTTTGCAGGTTTTTTCCCAGTAGAATTCTGGCGATTTGGTGCCAAAAGGTCTAGGGGCGATTTCGTCACACCAAAGAGCAGCCATGAATACTCACTCACCCTTTAGCCCACCCCCACCCCCGCAAATACAGGAAAAGCTGGAGGTGTGTTTGGAGGGGGGGATTAGGTTCATGAATCCCAACCCGAATGCCAAGGCCGTTGGGCCTGAGATCAAAACCAGTTTTCGGGGCCAAAAATTAAAAAGAGTTCCAACTTGAACTTGTCCTAATGTAATGAAACACTGTTGGGCTCAATCCGAATGAATGCCAAGCTATTTGGGTCTGCGACCAAAACTAGCTTTTGGGCCCAAGAGTTCCAACTTAATCTTGTCTTAATGTAGTGGCTTGGGTCCTGGCTCTAAGTGGACGCACTGCCCAACTTGGCAGTTTTGCCCAAGTGGGGGACGGGTGTTGGGAGCACGCCCAAAGCAAGCAGAGAAAACCTGAATCATGATCGTCTAAGTTCAGTACTTCGGGGGGGTTGACGACCATCCATTCTAACCCAAGAACAAGTCCGATGCATGCAAACAACAGGGATCCTTACATTATACACCTGAACAATGCCTTGTAAGTGGTGGTGTTCCTTTATTTCGGTGTTGAAAAAAAACGCCCCATGTTTCAAACGGGGGCAAAATGGGGATCTCTTAAGGAGCCCTGAAGTCAGCGTGTTCTGATCCGCTCCTTGGGTGCGGGGTAGGTCTCCGTCTCAATGAAGGGCCCCTCGGAGAGCTTGGTGGCCCGCAGCGCCGTGCGCCCGCCGCGGCTGGGCAGGGCGCAGACCCCGGCGTTGTCCACGAAGCTGCCGGAGAAGGACTGGCAGTTGTTCAAATGCCTCGGGAAACCCCACCCGATGCCAACTTCCAGCCCGCAAGCAGGGAATCCAAAAAAGATCCAGATGTCCAGTGATGGATTCCCTTGAAACCAACAAGGGACAAAAACAGCAAATATTGTCGAGCAAATGATGGGTGCCTGGGGAAACCCAAATCTCGGAGAAAACAAATCGGGTGGTGTCCATCAGATTTCACAACAGCCGACCAATGTCGCTTATGTCAACTGGAATTGTGTTGATAATTAAGGGCAAAATTGATGCGGCCGCTAGACTCTGTGAACATTTGCCAGCCAAAGCCTTTGTGACCTCTTGCAACCCAACTGATGTTGCGAAAGTTGGCAAGGACAAATGTGCAATCACCCAAAACCCCACAGCAGTCTGCCAAAGTGTGCCACTGGCGTTTATGCGAGCCCTGAGGCGAACCCCTTGCGACCTGTTTGAAGCTGCGGATAATTTGCCTGCACACCCATGCTGAGGTGCTGGTCACTTAATGAGGAGAAAGATTTATACCTCGCCAACGCCAGTGCGGCACCACACAAGTGTGCAAAACGGGCAAAGTGCAGGGCAGTGCCCTTAGCCACTCTAGCATAAAGAAGCACTTGCCAACTGCCCAGATGAGTCACAATCACGTAGAGTTTGCCCTCAACCTGCTTTGGTTGGGAACGCCCTCCCAAAACCATCTCTCTTTGAAAGCTGAGTCCTGCAACATAGTTTCACAGCGGGGTCGAACTTGCCTTGTCCGATTCGCTTGATTAGTTTCTTGGCGACATGAACCAAGCCATTGTGAATGCTTTTGCTGTTGACCGACTCCCAAGTTACCCACCCGGTGGACCAAACTGCTGTTTCTCGTGCGGGTCCCACCGTGGACCAAACTGCTGCCAAGGTCACTGCACGTACCACTGCACGGGCTCGCCCCACCAGCCATACTTGGACATGTAGCTCAGCGGCGGCTCTCCGAACATCCCGTCCTCTCGCTCAGTTTCTCTCGGCTTCCCGCGAGAGGAACTCGGTCAGAACACCGCTTAGATGCCATCCCGCAATGGTGACTATCCCCCAGTCAGCCTAGGGGTTGATTCCCCGTTCTTTTCCAGTCACGAATGAGATTGCCAAGCGGAATGCAGGCGCAGCATTCAAAGCACCGGTGGTCTTTGGATTCTTTCCGTCGACCGAGGAGGCGGGCCATATTTGGAGATCTGTCCAGACTGTGGAAGCATTTTGAAAGAAAATCGCAACAGAAACACCAATATTTGAGGGGTTGATCAATATATATTCCTGGCGCCCAAATAACCATGGGTATTTTCCCCGTTTAGCGGGGAAAGTCATCTGTTTGGTGGTTTGCCAATGGACATTCCATGAAAAGGACCAAGATGATCAACCTCATTTCATGTCCCAAGTGTTGTGACGCCCGCTGGCATTCACACCCGCTCCATCTCTTGAGCTGCTGCACCCGCCCAAAAATACCAAGGAAAGGCTTTGTAGCTCCAATGCCGGGATCCGTACCCTCTCTTGCAGGAACCAGACCATACTCTCAGTTGTAGATACGTATCTAAACCATATTGCTTTATGATAGCAACAGCATAGCAATCTTCTCGAGGTCGGAGGCTGCAAGTTTGATTCGCCGAATCAAAGAACCTTCCAAGCGCAGACTGGCCATGCGGCAACAAAGGCGAACCCTTGCTTGTCGGAAGGGAGCTGTAACGACCCGCGCCAAAAATGCTCTTCACTTGGTCCGATATGGAAAATCTCGAGCCAATTCCCCGTAAATTCAAGGGGCCCACCTCCAAGTTGACCAACTTTCAGTAGGCCTTTGACCCAACCCCCCCCCCCGGGTCCAAGGAGTTGTCAGGAGAGAGGAAAAAGCAATGGGAACACCTGCACACAGGAGCTGACTGTTTTCATTTTAAAGGAGAGCCCCCTCCACTAGACAAAGCTTCCCCATTCTTTCCAGAGATACTTCTTTTTCAGGAAAAAAAACAACATCAAGCACCCAGGGAAAACTGCTGGTTATTGAGAAGGACGATGGTTGAAAAGAATGGAAAAGGCATCAACCCCTAGACCTCCAGTAAACAGTTTTCAAAAACAAGACAACCACAGCCAAGTGTACGGCAAAACTCACCCCTTTGTTTGGTTAATCGGGGGGGCTGGGTCATCCGTGCCTTAATTGGGGCCATTGCAAGCTTGATCAGAACCCCTAGACCTCCAGTAAACATATTGCAACAAAAACAAGTCAAGAAGCAATCACTGGGGAGGTTCTTTTGGGCAGGCAGTGTCCTGCACCATGAGCCCCATGATGGCCACCATCGCAAGCCTCGCAGAGAAAAACAAATCCCTCGAAGCCACCTTTTTGCAGGCCGTTCTGAGCCTAGAACCAAATACCCTCCTACCAACTAACATGGCAATGAACGGAAGTGCCAAAAGGCCCTTTCTAAGAGGAAAGTAGTCTTTCTAAAGGGGTCTGTGCACTCCCATGTTAGCAGGTGGGACGGTAAAGAAGCGTTTCTTCCCCAAAGCCCAACAAGAAATCAAGACCTTGAAGCTGGTTCTTAGAAAAATATCCTACCACAACCTTGGAGAATACTCATTGCCAGAGGAAAGATGCTTGCGGTGGGTGGCCTTCTCCAAAAACAGCAAAGACCGCATGTGCGAGTAAAGGTGCATCCATCTATGCCAAGGTGTATAATGCTAAAGAAGCGATTCTTCCCCAAAGCCCAAGAAAAAGAAGACCTTGAAGCTGGCTCTTAGACTCTTAGCTTGATTGAATCTGAAAGTCCAAAAAGTCTTGCGGCTGACAACCTTTCCTTGGGCTGCGGATCGTGGAGGCACTGCTTGAAATCCCAGTGAGCCCAAGACGGTCGTTCCGTCTCCGCCAACTGATAACTGGTACACAAAAACCAAAAACTCCGTCTAGTCCCATGTTGTGTATTGCGCCAGGAAAAGGTTAGATTGCACAAATAGAACGTCTTTGAAGAAAGGTATAACTTGATTTGTCAGTCAATGTTGCCTCTAGGGCTGGAATATTGAATAGGTCAAGGTTTCTTCTGACAACTGAGATGCCGTCTAGTTCAAACTGTTGGGACAAAGACAAGGTATCTGGCTCCGTCACCTTTGTAACGAAACTTGATCGCGAGGATTCAATCAACATGTGCGTTTCTGAAAGTCAGGTGGATCCTCAACTTTGTAAGGACAACCTCCTATCAATGGTGTCAGGAGTCAGGCTCTACAGCGCTCCAAGCATTCCCCGCCCAGGACGCCTGCCGTTGTTCCTCTCGGAGGTCTGCTTGCGCTCGAGCTCCGCCTCGTCGATGCCGTCGATCAGCTCGGTGCCCAGGCCGAAGTCCGAGCTCCCGAGACCGCCCGCGCGGGGCTTCACCAGCACCTGGATCCGATCCCGAAGCGGGGTATACGGGAAGGCCAGGAAGGCTTTGCGAACCACCTGGTGGATCAGGGATCCTTACATTATACACCTAAACATTGCCTTGTCAATGGTGGTTTCCCTTTAGTCTGGTGGAAAAAGCCACGTTTCCAATGGGCAACATGTATCTTTTAAGGAGCCCTGTGGGTTTTTGGCGGATTCCTTGATCTTATGGCATGGATCACAGGTTGATCCAGCGTTGCACGGCACCGGACATGATCGTGTGACCACCTACTGTGGATGGACCAAATCCTGCACCACTGTGAAACCATGATTGAAACCATGGTTGTTTGGAATTTAAAGGGGAATCATCCTTCCAGGGTTCTTAGGGTGGTGCAGGATGTCGCTGGCCGGGGTTCTTACATTCTCCTTTCACATGGTTTGAATCATTCCCCGGTGCAGGTACAGAGGTGTAGAACAGGCGGAAAGGGAAAAATATCCAATCCTATCTTCCGGTTGCAGACAAGAAATGTGGAAGAAAGGGGGTCCATCTCAAGGTAGTGGGGATCAAGAAGGCCAGGTCAGACGGATGTTCGTGTTCAAGCTGGCCAATGCTCCAGCATAGCCACCCCCAAAAGCAAGTTTGAGAATGCGGCCATTGCAAGGGACCCTGCATGTTGGGGGCGGGGTCACACTTCTATGTGGTAACTGGAGTATGTGATCTTTGTGGGAAACTTGGTAACCCCCTGAAAATGAACTTCCACCCACTATCCACATTCCAACCTGGGATTTCAAACCACTTGGAACCATGGCAAACCCAAATCCGCTGGAAACGCATTGGACATCCATTTTCCTCGCCCCAGTCGGATGTCCTGAAAACTCATGGGGAAACCCCATGGACCAGGGTTCTGGGGCTTCCTCCCCACTTCGGTGATACAAGAGAATCTCCCCCTTTATACCCTTTACATGGGGGGGATAGGTTTGATAGTCTTTGGGCTTGGAAGCCCTTGTTGTTGTCACAGTGGATTCCAGTTCCGCCAGCGACCAGGGCTGAAAAGCTCCACACGTCTTTCCCGCCCCCGCCCCACGCCTCATGCGCGCCCACCAGGGCCACCAGCTGCACCCAGCCCTCCAGGGGGATGGACTCCAAAGCCGCGAGCCCGTGCTGGAAGGACTCGCATCCGGGGAAGCGGAAGATCTCCGGCATGATGTACCCCACCACGGCGATCCTGAGAAAAGGACCCGAGAAAACAATGGTTTTTGGAGGTTGTTTATTTGTTGTGTTGATTGGTTGTGCTTGTTTGTTTGTTTGATTGACTGACTGACTGACTGACTGAATCATTGGCTGATTGACTGTTTGACTGATTGACAGATTGACTGTTTGACTGTTCGACTCATTGACTGATTGACAGATTGACTGAGTGTCTGTTGTGTTGTTTGTTTGCTTGATTGATTGATTGATTGTTTGATTGATTTATCTTTTGTTGATTGATCAATCGGTGGCTTGGTTGGCTGATTGCTCGGTTGATTGATTGATTGATTGATTGATTGATTGATTGATTGATTGGTTGGTTGGTTGGTTGATTGATTGAATGAATGAATGGATGAATGAATGAATGAATGAATGGATGAATGAAGGAATGAAGGAATGAAGGAATGAAGGAATGAAGGAATGAATGATGAATGATGAATGAAGGAAGGAAGGAAGGAAGGAAGGAAGGAAGGAAGGAAGGAAGGAATGAACGAATGAACGAAGGGATGGATGGATGCAGGCATTGATGCATGGATGCATGGATGCATGGATTGCTTGGGTTTTGTTTGTTGTTGGGTCTCGACTTGCTTTATCTGCTTCAGTACCCCCACTGCAACCCTGGTGTGGATAGGTTGCCATGCAGCCTCTACAAAAGCCAGTGGTCCAAACCAACACTTGTGGGGTACTTGATCTCAACCATGCCTGCCAGTAAACCGTGTCCAAAACCTCTTGCAGACTCCTTGAAACGTGGTGAGCAAACATGAACTCACAGATCGCAAAGGCTCAAGCACAATAAGTCGAGTGCAAAACAATTGCATGCCAGAGAGGGCTTTATGCGAATCCTCTGCGAAAAGGCAACACTGATCTTATACAATCTTTGTTGCGACAGTTGTTGGATTGGGACTTCAAGTGGACTTCTGTGATAAGCGTGGAAGTAAACACCGCCACTATCCACACCAGCACGACCATCAGAACTGCCAAGTCTCATAGCCACTCGTCCGTGCTTGATCTCTACCTGAGTGTAGCGTTCCAACTTCTCATCGGTGCTGGCCAAGTTGAGGGGATCGAACTTGTCCGTCAGCGGCAGGCAAACGCCCACGGCCTTGCGTGCCGTGCGGCGTGTGGCGCTCGTTGCTGACGCAGCTGCCAGGCCAAGTGCCGCTGTCGCCGTGGCTGCGGCCGCTCCCCAGGAGGCGCTGGAGGTAGGCTCAGCCGCAGGGGCGGAGACGGAGACGCCGCGCAGGGAGGAGGTGGAAGTGGAGCTTCGGGGGACCACAAAGGCGAGGCCGCCGGCGGAAAGGGCGAGAGCGGCAACACGAGCCATGGCTGCGAGGATAAAGTCGAGGTTGGCACAGGAATTCAGCCAAGCACTTCAGCCCAGATGGCTCTCCAATGGTCAACCCTGGATGCACACATGTGTGCATGTGTGTATGTTTGTGTAAGTATAGGTGCAGGTGTAGGTGCAGGTGTAGGCGTAGGTGTGTGTGTGTGTGGGCGGGCGGGAGGGCGGGCGGGTGCGTGCGTTGGTGTGTGTGTGTGTGCGTGTGAAAGCTGCATGAAACGACACTGCGATGGGGATCTACTCCCCTGCAAGAATAATGCAGATCCCTTCTCAAACTGGAGGCTATGTGGTTCCGGGCAATTTGCCCGGCAGCTAGAATGTGCTCGTCTGCCCTGCCTCGCTTCTGAGGATCGTTCCAGCAAATGTGGATAGTGGCGACCTTGCTGCAAGGCAGAAAAAGGCGGGGGGGGGGGGGGGGAATACCCTCCCTTCCACTAATATCACTAATATAGCACCTGTGGGAGGGTACCTGGAAGACTATTTTCCTTTTGTAGGGACTCCCTGTCAGGTCCATGTTGGTGGCAGTGAGGGTATCTTGTTGTTGAGTGGGTGAGGTGCCACTGAAAAATGGGTAACCCAAGCAGAACACCCAAAGCCTGCTCCGGGAGCGCCCTCATGTTTCGCGTGCCAACCGGAGTATGATGTTCAAGTTCCCCACAAACCATGCTGAATCATGGTTTGCCTTGAACAAACCAAGAGGGAAGCCAGAACCTTCCGTGAAAACACACACACAAACACACAAACACACAAACACACAAACACACAAACAAACAAACAAGCAAGCAAGCAAGCAAGCAAGCAAGCAAGCAAGCAAACAAACAAACAATCAAACAAACAAACCAAACACACAAACAAACAAACAAACAAACAAACAAACAAAACAAACAAACAAACAAACAAGCAAGCAAGCAAGCAAGCAAGCAAGCAAGCAAGCAAACAAACAAACAAACAAACAAAACAAACACACAAACAAACAAACAAACAAACAAACAAACAAACAAACAAACAAACAAACAAACAAACACACACACAAACAAACAAACAAACAAACAAACAAACAAACAAACAAACAAGCAAGCAAGCAAGCAAGCAAGCAAGCAAGCAAAACAAACAAGCAAACAAACAAACAAACAAACAAACAAACAAACAAACAAACAAACAAACAAACAACACCTAAACAAAAACACCAGCGCCTGCCATGGACGGAAGAAAAACAAGAGGAAACAAAAACACGCGCAAGCACTGGTCGCACGGCACCAGGCCCCCGGGGCGCCGGACGGCATGGGAGCGGCTGGACCGCGCATTGAAGGCGGTGCGCCCCACGATGCGCGAGGCGGCGCCCTCTGCCAGCCACGCGCTGATCTGGCGAGGTGGTGTTGCTGTGTTTGTTTTCGTTTTCGCGTTTTTGTCCTTGTTTTGTTTTACCCGTTTTTGTTGCTATTCTTTCTTTCTTTTTTGTCGTGTTTCCGTCCTATGGCAGGTGCTTGCTGTACAAGGCGAAGCTAGAGGTACACTCACGTACGAATGAGCGGGTTGGTTAAACAATAGCTACACTTTTTGTATGCCACTCAAATAATCCAAACCCAAAAAAACTTGTCAACGTCCAGGAACTCAGGAAGTGAGATAAAGTGAAAATTCTGAGTGGCAGAACAACACCAGAACCCAGCGAGTCCATGAAAAGCTTCGTGCGAGGCCGATGAAGATTTTGAAAACCAAGGCTTGATTTTGGCGAAGCAAATTCTCTCTCGAATCTTGCCGCATAGTTTCTGGAATTCAGAAACCCACATGGGTGTGTCTTAAAATGGGCTCAATTTGGTGGGTCTTCCATTTGGTTTCCTTTTTACCACACCACAAAGCACCCTCAAAAAAGACACACTCACATCTGAAGGAGGCAAACTAAGCAGAGGTCTTGAAGCTGTGCCCGTTGCGTGGCAGAGGGGTTGCATCCCCAGCTTCATTATGATGGAACCGCTGGTCTCAAAGGGAAGGCCCAACTGAATGGGGACCCGTTCCAACGAATGGACTTGAGCTGTCAAAAATGGGGATGCCTTGTTGTTGGACCTGGGGGTTTCAAAAACAGGGGGGCACATGTTCAATCTTGCCTTGCTCTTCGGCTTGACCCATTCTGAATACCACCCCCAAACAAATAAATCAATAACAAGTCGTTCTTTCTGCCGCCCTTGAAAACCACCACCCGCAATACCAACTCCAAAGAGCCAATTTTTTCGGGATTCCACGCGCGAGGTCCGACGGCGGACAAACCTTTCCATGCCCGCGCCCTTCCCCTTTTCGGGGTGCGAGCTCTGGAAAAGCCGTTGGGTAAAGCCGTTGGGGTTCACCCCATGAAAGATCAACCCACAACTCTCACAGGATCGACGCGATTGCTCGGCATTCAATGCAGCATGAGTGAAACAATCGTGGCAGGCATTGGCCCAACCACAGGGGTACGACAAAAGCAATTGCTGGAATATGCTTCAGGCTTAGTCTATACTAGATATACTCCCCGACAGATTAACAGGGAACCCAAAAAGGGGGCTCCCATCCTAATCTGCAGAGGAAGATGAGTTTGAAGGAGACCCCAGCATGGTCAGTCTTGACATCATTGGTCAGCCAATGTTCCTCGTTCTCCCACCGGTCGCGGGAAAATTGAGTCCCAATCAAAACCAGTCTTTGAAAGAGTCTGAAAGAATCAACACGAATATTCGCACATGTTTGTGACGACCGTCCACTCACAACCTTCCCCCTAGGGGCCCAAGACGGTCAAAGGCCCTAAAAGGCGTATTGGGCTCCTAGGGTTCATCTACATGGCTGTGGAAAGTCTGACCCTGCCTGTGATACCAAAGTGGAAACTTTCCAGGACCATTTCATCACTTGAAATTGGATTCCCTTGGTATCACAGAACATGGTCCTAAACCCTTTCCACAACCAGGCTCATCGACCTCGTGTTTTGATTGCTTCTCGAATAGGCGACCCTCCCCTTCTCACTTCCTGAGTGGTTTGACCAAAACAGTCCAAACCTGTTGCTTGCCACTAACATGGTCCAATCACAAAAAAGTATGTAAAACCCAAAACAAAACGTAAAACCCCCCCAAAACGGCACGTATAAAGTCCAGTAACTCAGGAAGTGAGACACTCACTGCAAGAGTTGCACCACCGCAGTATGGCCATTGGTGGAAGCTGCTTCAAGTGCTGTCGCACCACTGTCCTGTCGAGAAAAGGGGCAAGGAGGGAACCCAAAAGTGCGAAAGGGCCCTTTAAGGTCAGTCAAGTCAGGCAAAGCAAAGGAAACGACCAGGGCAAAACGTCATTTTGATAAAGATATTCCTAGTCTGTCCTCAAATGCCCTGCTAAATTGACTAATTTTTAGTGACCATGCCAACGCATAAGCTACATACCTAAGGAACCGGATGCCAGAGATTGCTTGTCGAGTGTCTGCATTGCTCTTGTCCGCCCCAAACTCCAGCAAGATCCTCACCACCTCCACCTGGCCCTTAATGGCTGCAACCACCAGCGGTGTGCGCCCGAAGGTGTCGGGCTTATCCTCAGGGTTGCAGGATGTGCCTGAAATTAGGGGTCTAGACCCACAAAACGGGTGGTTTCCTTTTGGTTCCCCGTGAAAACCATCCAAAAGGGGTGCCATGGGTTGGCTTTTCCTCGAAGGGCAACCACCAGGAAACCACTCATTTTTGAAGGTCCACCACTTTGACACAGACTCAAACCAGACCCACAAAGGGAAACCAACAGGAGGTTGTTCCCAACAGCCAGCATGGGGTTCTATCTCTGGGCTGGGCGATAATTGCATCAATCGGTGTTTAAGCATGCTTGAACAAGACTAGGTCCTCCAGTAGAGAGGTTAGCAAAAGGGTACTCTTTTGCTGTAGTCTATTTTAGCAGGGGAACCCTCTCCCAAAAAAGAAAAGGGCACGATCACGATCCTGGGGACCGATCCGAAAAGGCAACAGCCCAACCCCGCTTTTCCTTGTCAGCCCTTGCTGTCAGCAAACAGCGCACCGTGTCCGGGAAGCCGCCGCCGCAGGCAAGATGGAGTGGGGTTCGGCCCACGTAGTTCCCCGGATCCTTGCGTACCTGGCACGTTTTCCGATCCCCGCGAAAAGTGACTAACTGGGTTAAATGGAAACTACCACATCCAAAAAGCCAAGGGGATAGCTGGGAGCCACCAAGATACCCCGGCTTCCAGCAAATACCTCACCACTCTTAGGTGCCCGAATGAAGCAGCAGCGTGCAGCGGGGTGTGCTGGTCTTCCACATACCATCGCACAATGTCATAGTTATCGCTGGGCTCAGGCTCTTCATCCGGCGGTCGTTCCGCCAGATCGTGGTTGGCCTTGTCTCGCTCGGCGCCGACCTCCAGCAAATAGCGCACCACCTCCAACTTTCCATTCAGCGCCGCGAAATGCATCGGAGCGCATCCGAAGTTGTCGTGCTCGTCTTTGTCCATGCCCAGTTCAACCAAGAAGCGCACAACTTCCAGGTTCCCTTCTCCTGCCACCGCATGCAGGATTGGTGCTGAAAGGGCCTTGTGCTCCTCGATGTCTGCCGTGGTTTTCGCAAAGAGACGTACAACTTCTGTGTGATTTGCCATAGCAGCCTCAGTTGCAACCAGAGCAAAAGGAAATAACACTAGTGCTTCCAGTCACCATAGGTGGTAACTAGGGGAAACCAGCACGGAAACAAGTACCTGGCTACTTGGCTAGGGGGAGGGGCGCGGGTCGCGCAGTTCCATTTAAAGCTGGCAAAATGGAGCTGTGGCTTTCAGAGATCAAAAGGAATTCTGACTTGTCCCGCCCCCTCCGATCAAACTAGGGGGGAAATCCCTATTGAAAGTACAAATATGGGTCCCCTGAAAAACTCAACATGTTGAGGGCTCTCGAAATGACCTTCAGTTTTGGGGGCTGGTTCCCCTACAAATCACCGTAGCACAAAAACAGGCGTCATGTTCAAGCAGCATGGTACATGGGCGTCTCCAACTTGTGGTCTGCCAAGCTCTTGTCCGCTCCAGCCCCCAGCAGACACTTCACCACCTTCGAGTCTCGTCTCTCGCGTCGGCCAGTCAGTGGTCCCAAAACGGGTACCTTTTGCTTCAAAGGACAAACGTACCGCATCAGGCGGATGCCAAAGACACGAAATTTGTTTGACACCTTTGGAAGGGGGAACCCATTTTGGGTTGACCGCTGACAGGCACCAAAACAAGATGGGAACGGGATGCTGAACTGATGGAAGGCTATCTCACACTTGGCATCCATTCAAGACTGTTCATGCCAGCACATCCAGAAGTCGCTGGACATGTTTTCAAGAAGTGCAACCAGGCCAACCCAAGGGAAGGTCTTCGAAGGGAATTGAAATTTCAGGGGCAAGCAACTTGGTGTGTTGAAACATGGGTATGTGTCAAAACAAGAATTCGGGACCCCCCCCCCCAAAACAAAACAAAAAAGGAAGGGTGGGTTTTCCCGTGTTCCCTACACCCAACCTGTCCAAAGGGTTTCTTCCACATGAAAAGCGCAGTCCAAGGCTGGAAGGGCACACCAACTTTTGAAACTTTGGACTCGGTTCAGGTTGTTTTAGGGAGACCAATACACCAAAACACACAGAAAAAATGCTTTGGACTTCCACGGTTTCAATCATCGAAGCAGCTCCGTTCTGTTCCCCCCACCCCGGCTTTTGCGTGGTTGGTGGTTTTTTGCTCAGACTCGGCTTAGAATCGCTGGATATAGAGCACCCACCTGGGAAATCATTCGATTTACTCCATGGGCTCCACGCTTTCATGGGCGGCGTTGTTTTTCATACTAACAAATTTCAAACAGGTGGCTGTCTTTGCTCAGCGGACACGCAAAATGGCTTCGGTTTTCCGTTTGGCTTTGCTTTACAACCCAAAACGCGGTTCCTGGAGTCTCCACGACCCTAAAAAATGGGGTAATGACTTTTCTATTTTGGGTCAGGACCCCATTTTTTAATGGTCATGGAGACTCCAGGTTCACCCTAATTAACCAATTTCTTCGCGGGTTCGCGACAAACTCACCCCAAAGACCACGACACATATCCCAAAACGCACCTCCACACGGCCATTGATGGCTGCCACCATGAGTGGCGAGCGCCCGGAGCTGTCGGTCTTATCCTGGTGGCATCTTGGTGGCCGTCGGCCCCGCCAAAAAGCTCGACTTCTTGTGGGGTCAATGGGAAAACCCATGGATTTCCCACAAAAAAAGCGCGAAAGTCTAAAAAATCAACAGCAATCAATTTTGAAGGCCTCTCAAAATTACGTTTGAGGGTTCCCATTTGAAACAAACAACAACAACAAAAAAACATCAGCACCGATCGGTATTAAATGGTCTACCCAAACCAATGTAATGAACTCCAAGCTTCACTTACCCAGGGCTCTGATTTTACTCATTCGATGGGTACTCCATTCTGAGGGATACCCTCTATAAGATATATTTCTAGGGGCACGTCCCCGTTCTTTCCAGGGATCCTTCTTTTCAGGAAACCATCCAAAACGCAGGGGGAAACAGATCTGTTTTTTTTAGAACGATGGCTGAAAATAATGGAAAAGGCATCAACCCCTAGAATCATAACGTGTTGCTCCCAGACTCATGACTTGTGGTTTCGAAGTACCTGATGTTGACCCCATACTGTGGATGAACAAAATCCTACGCCATTTGGATACCCTCTATAGCAGGGCTGTGGGAAATGACCACTTCTGTGATACAACAAGGGCTTCCCAAAGACTAACCCACCACATAACAGGGGAGATTCCCTTGTATCACAGAAGTGAGTAAAACCCCTTGATCCCACAACCCTGCTCTATAGAATATAGCTAACTCGACTGTCACTTCGCTGGCAGTTCTCCTTGTCAGCGCTGGCCCTCAGCAGGACCTTCACCACATCCTCGAAGCCGCGATGTGAATGGGAACATGACATGGCGTAACATCGATTTGGAGCTGAGTTGCCCTTGGTTTCCTGGAAAACAAAACAATACTAAAATGATAATTCTGAAGAAAGACGCATATACCACGGTATTCTGTTGTCTGTTTGTGCTGCTTCAAAGGGAAACCAAAGGGACAGCATGTTTTGGGGTAACTCCCATGACAAACCCACATGCGAACATGCGGGTTCTTTAACCGGCTGCCAAACTGTCTCCGTTTCCCTTGATTTGGGCTAAACTGGCCACGTCCTAATGTTGATGAATTTGCTGCTCCTTCAGGACGGAATTTGTTGCAACAGGGGCGAGAGCGGGGGAAAACTCCTGAAAGGCAGCCAGTTCAAATGCAGACATGGGCGGTTGTGAAATGATGAAGGACACCCACATCAACAGTTGAACAAATGTTTTGACAATACATCACTGAAATTAGCGGCTGACCATAGCCTTTAGAGCCAAACACCCGTGCCACATGGGGGGTACTAAAGCTTGGGGCCCCCATGCTGGCTAGTGATTGTCGCTTTGAGACAGGGAGAGACATAGACACACCAAGCCGACACCCCTTCGCATTTTTGGGGGCCTGCCAGCCTTCCGAAGGAAATCTGTCGGCCTTAAAGAGATAGGCAGCTGAACGACCCCTCGAGGCTTCAGCTTGGGGCTTCGGGGCTTCAATCCAGCGCCAGCTCCATCCCACTTCTCAGTTCGCAAAATCCCCCCCACCTGGCTCAGCTTTGTCCATCTTAAAGGCCTTCGAGTGAAAAAAAAAAACGGATGAAACCACCCGGCGTTTTTTTTTTTCGCGTCAGGCTGGGCGGCAAGGAAGCCGGCGCCGCACGCCAGATGCATGGGTGTCCGCCCCACGCAGTTGCCGGGATCCTTCTCTGCGCCGGCCTGGCCCGAGAGATGGATGCGCCATCCCCAAAAGGAGTCCAGTCCTGCAGAGACCCTTTTAAAACCACTCCTCTACGCTTTGGATGCGGCTTTTGTGGATCCACCCCTGTAGAATATTGAAATAGCACGAAAATATTCCATATATATATATATATATAACAAAAAGACCAAGGTGAGGAACTGGCGAAATCCGCAAAAGCCGCATCCAAGACCGTTCTCTGGAAATTCCCTGCCTGCTGCAGATGCTGCCATATTGCAAGTAAACCACATCCAACCATAGAATGATAAACTGCAGAAGATTAAATGGTTTCCCTTGCCGTATATGGCCCTGGGTCACAATCCAAATCGTAGCCCCAGTGAACATCCCAATCCCCACTAAAATAGGTACTAAAATGGGTGGTGACCCACCCCAAAATGGTACCATTGGTGTTGACCCACAGCCATATAGGACACCCTCCGATGGGTCTGCCCCAAGCCTCCAGCAAGTAGTGAACCACCCTCCAGTGGCCATAGGTGGCCGCTGCGTGCATCGGCGTATGCCCGTGCTCCACCAGCCAACGCACCTCGGCTGGTCCGCCCGTTCGAATGCAGACAGTGTGCTTGCTGGTTCAAGGGGCACATGAAGGAAAACGGGAAAAATGGGGATGGGTCAAAAAGGAGAAGAGTAAAGCTTAATTACAAGCCTGGCCACAATGTCGAAGTCACCGTTGGGCTCGTGCAAACCTGTGTGCTCGTGCGATGCCTGCCAGGGTTTTGTCAGACATAGAATTGTGGCGCACCGGCGCTGTTGAAAACCACAACAAAGAGGTCGTTCCAGGGCTTTTTCGGGACTTGCTGGTCACCAAACTGCCACCGGCCTTTCTTTCTTTTTTCTTGTTTCCGGGGGGGAGGGGGGGGCAGGAGGTCCTAATTTTGAGACCCTCGACACTTGCGAAAAGAAAATACAAGAAACATAAGTGTCCTGCTGCCTGCCTAGAAAATCCAATAAAGGGTTCTCAAAATAGCGGCCGACATAATTGATTTTCGCGTGGTTTCCCTTCAGCCAACCAAAACAGGGTTTGCGATTTCTCACTTCTTGAGTGGATGTATTGCATGGATTGGCCAGAAGGAAAAAGAGGGTCGACTGTTTATCACTTCTTGAGTGGATTGGCCAGAAGAAAATAGAGGGTCCACCATTTTGCTCACTTCCTGAGCCACTTGCCACAAAAAGTCCAAGCTTTCTCTTACCACAATGGTCCAACCCCGAAAAGTGACCCAAGCCCGAAACGGAACGCAGGAAGCAGATATCTTGAGACGCCCCTTGAAACTTTTCACCCAAAAAACTCCGATCCCCCTTGTTGTTTGTTTGTTCACGACCCACACCTCCGGGACGTAATTGGCCTTGTCCTTGTCAGCCCCGGCTTCCAACAAGGCACGTACCACCTCCAACTGCCCGCTCAGGGCAGCACCGTGCATAGGTGTGTAGCCGAAATAGTCCGCCTTGTCCTAGGGTGACTACCCTTTCTCCCTCCTTGCCATGGAGCCCACCAGAGGCTTCCTTCAAAAGGAGGATCGTCCAAACCAGGACCCCGAAACATCAGGGTCCATGTTTGTGAACGGGAGGGTACCTCACTTCTGAGTGGAATGCCCAAAAAAGGTCCATGTTGTGTTCACTAAAAACATGTTTACACATATGTATAGTATAAGTACCAAAATTTGTTCACCAACATTTGCTTTTACAACTACATATGAACTCATATTTACCAGGAATGTGTTGTCTTCCCCAAAACATATCTAGTCCATGAGCTCAAAAAGTGACTTAGTTATAAACCAGGTTGGCGAGCACCGAGCAAACCTGCGCTTTTAGGTCGGCCATACTAGCCAATAAAGTCTGAAATACCCGAGAAACGTGTGTCCCTATAAGACCTATACCTTCAACTGGCTCTGTCTGGGTGCCATGTTTGTCCTGAAACCATAAGTGCTACATTTGCTTGGAGTACACCAACACGTACTGGCATCCATCCCAGAAGTAGAAGTATGGGGTCAATGGGAAGAAACTTCAGAAAGGGCTTGCAAAACGCAACACCCGCTTTGAGGACATTGAACGAATATGGGTGATTTAGCCAGTAGGTTTAGCACCCCCTGAAAATGCACCCTTTTTAGGGGGTGCATAACCATAAACCCAAGGAAACCAAACAGAACACCTACCATTTTGGGGGTTGTTTGATACAACCATCCCAGTGCTTCCAGGCAGTTTAGTCGGAACCGAAGGAAGCCATGCTGCATAGCCTGGTAAGCATCCAGGGGTGCTTGTACCCTGCTACATACCCCTTGGACAAATGAACCCAACAAAAACCTGGTGATGTTCATACCATATCCTCTCCCCAAAAGGGGTATATACCCCTTATAAAGTGGGTTGGACACCACGGAAGCCAAGGGCTACGAACAAGGGGTATGCACTTCGACCCTTAGAAGGAAACCTGAAGGGTTATGCTACGGTGGCGAAACGCCGGAAGCACTGGGCATATGTTTTCCCTTCGATGTTTCAGAGCTCGCTCCCGTCCTTCTCGGCGCCTGCCTCCAGCAGAATACGCACCACTGTGAGGTTTCCTGAAAAACTGACCGGTCGGCCCAGCTTGAGACATGGGTGTGGCTCTTTTTGGAGGTGGCTTTAAAGACGCCCAAAGGCAAAACACTTTTTTTTTTGGGGGGGAGGCCTACAAAAACACACACCCACATCTCGAGTCTCGGGATGCAGTGCTTTTTGATTTCGACAGCTTAAGTAGTATATATCCCCAAAGGGTTGTTTGGCACCTATTCGAGGCACACCCTCACGGATACATGACACAATCAGTTTGCTGAGCAAGAACTCTTGAGCAACTCATCCCGCACGAACCATGACCTTAGGTTTGCCCCAAAATCAACACCGGCCTCCCCCCCCCCCCCCGAGATTCCTTTCACGCAAAACTGGTCTTGTTGTTGCTATGTGAATCAGAAAACACGACATCGTTCGCCCTCCAAAGGGCGGATCACTTTGAGAGGGTCCAACTTCCCAAACGGAGCCAAAACGGTCCCAAAACATTGGGCCAAGGGTCTAAACCAAGGGGTCAAAGTGGCAAGGCATATTGGGAGGGTCGAACAAACAAACCATTTTGGGTCTAGGTGAGACCTGTTCAGACAAGGTCCAAGACTTGGCTCGACAGGGTACTAAAGAAAGAGATCGGAGTCGTCATGCCTAGTCAAATTGTACAGTGCAGCGTGATATCGACATCGACCCATGTGTGTGTTGCTTCTTTGCAGCCTGGCTCTCGACATTGACCCAAGCAATTCGAAGAAGAAAAAAACAAACAGATCCAAAGCCAGGCCCTGAGGTTCGTAAATTCCATCCAAGGTTCCGCGCCCGGCCGCCGCATGCAACATGGGTGTCTGGTTGGGGTCGTTGGCCTTCAAGATCTCGGCTCGGGCGGTCAGCAGGTACTGAAGCATTGCTGCGTGATCCGACACCGCCGCGTGGTACCTGGGCTCGCTCATTTCCATGGGGCGGGGAATGCGAGACAGGGGAGGGAATGCCCAGGGTGGGAAAGGGTCCCTCTAGGGGATGATTGAAACGGAACGACCTGAAGCATGTGTGCGGGAGATATCCCTTTTCCGTGATACGAAAGGAGCCTCTAAGCTCGGCTTACCATTCCTTTGTAGAACATTGTGATGTAAAATTGGTACCGGAAACAAACATGAAAGCTCCATATGTTTTCGACAGTGTAATTACATTTATGCACATCATGGAAAATTCAGTATGATATTCATTCCCATGGCGTATCCTTTAAAACCATGGGCTGTTAGCTCCAAGTTGTGATTTTGTTGCTTGACTGTCAAGTTTCATGAAACAAGGATGACTTGGACTTTGGCCCCGGGGAAGAACCCAAAATTGGCTGCTCAAGGTTCCGCACAGTTGCCCTTCAAGCATCACGCCACGCATGGAAAACTGAAACATCATCTTGGCTCAAAGGGCGATGTGTTCGTTCAGCCATGACACATAGGCGACTCCCCATGGTTGTCCGCCTTGTTCACATCAGCGCTGACATCCAGCAAGCAGCGTGCCACTTCAAGATGGCCTGCCCAGTCGAGGCACTGGGCAATCTGTTGCGATCTTCCAAAGGCTGTGCGCGGGCGTGACCTCATAGTGAAGGCTCCTTTCTTGGGTCAATTTCTTACTTCACTGACAGACTGCTGGCCCAAATCAGGCGAAGGGAGGGGTGCGCCTTTTTAGCCAGCTGGCCTTTGCAGGTACTGGGTTTGGAGGCTAAGGGTGCGTTCCGTACAGCTCCGTTCCTCCAAATCCAGTACCAAAAGCCTGCCACAGATCCCTAAGCTTCAGAACAGCCGCCACAAACAATCAACAAGAAGGGTTTGGTGTTCCCATAAGAAAGAACATGGCCATGTATCGGTGTTTCTCAAACTAGGGTCCCTAAAATGTCCCTTCATACCAAGCAAGAAAGGGTCTGCCATTTTGGGACGCGCCCATATGGGTGTGTCTTGTTTAGGGTACTCCAAAAAATTGGCGCAACGGCTGTCCCTTTGGCTTCCCAAGAAGTACCAAATCTAAGGGTTGATCCCCCATTCTTTCCAATCCGTCTTTCCAAAACTCGGATCCGTTTCCCTGGCTTTCCGGAGGCTTTCTAGAAAGATCCGGATCCCTGGGTTCAGAATGGAAATGGAAGGTAGCACTGGTAGCACTAGAACGGCGGGTTCCCAGGCGGAACACCGAGCCAGCCATTTGCCCCGGTGAACCCTCGCTCGAATTCGCGCCTCGCTCCGCTGCTGCGTGCAGAGCTGCGCGGCCCTGGTCGTTGCCTCCGGACTCGACTCGCTTGGATCGATCCCAGAGACTCCATCAGGGATCCGGATGCATTATACACCTGAACATTGCCTTGTAAATGGTGGTTTCCCTTTATTTTGGTGAAAAAAGCAACATGTTTCAAATGGGGGCAAAATGTATCTTTTAAGGAGCCCTGTCCATGTTGGTCACATTTACTGACACTCATAAAATAAAAAATGTAGGCCTCTCAGAGCAACATTCGAAGGTAGGCATATATTACAACATGTGAGTTTGCTTACATTGGAGTGTCTGGGGATGCTAACACCGACTTAGAAAGTAGGATTACCCCCCCCCCCCACCACCGCTTTTACATGGAACCTGACGTTCGTGGAACGGTCCAAACCAGGACGCCCCGAACGTCAGGTTCCACGTTCATTGGTGGGAGGGCACTTCCATTTGCTGTTTCGCCCACTGGAAAAATAAGGACAAATCGAAAAATGTCAAGTAGTGAAATCGATTCCTTTGAAAACCAAGGGAACAAATACATACATTTCTAGGTCCTCCAGTAGAGAGGTTAGAAGAAGGGTACCCTTGTTTCTGTCGTCTATTTTAGTAGGGGAACCCTCCCCCAAAAAAGGGTAAAGGGGCAGTAAAGGGGCACTACTGGGGGACCGGACCTAGACTAATATGTCCGGCACCTGAAACATGGATCCGCAAGTAAAGGATCTGCAGGGTCTCGTAGTTTACCCTCGAATCCGTTACGAAACAAGTATCATGCAAATCAATCGGCACATGGGTGCTCTTTTTAGAGGGTACAGCTGTTCGGTGTTTGAAAGGTTTTAAAGCGACAAAGGGAAAACCGCTTATTTTGACGGGTCCCTTAAAAGAAAGACCCCAAATGTATACAGTATAGTTCTTACGATTTTAAAGGAACCTTCATCAGGCCTGAGAGTCGTCTGAGAGTGTTGCCCGAGCTCGTGAAACACATTGCTGGTCAGCTACTCAGTCCAATTCTTAGAGAGGAGCCCCCGACCCAAGAAAGAATTCGAAGTCCTCCAACGCAACTGTTTTAACTTGGCCCAACCGGGCAGAGCAGAAATATGGCTGTGGCTCAAAAAACCGGTACCAAAATGGAACCCTGGTAAGTGGAAATATGGACCAACACCTGCGGTTTGCCCCTCCTGTTTAATTTTGAGCCACACCCATATGAGCTTCAGATTCTGAGTCCTCAGAATGCCGCCCATTCGACTTGGACCAACCCCACCAGGGCACACCAAACATATGCTGTTCAGATAAATTAGGTGTCGCACTTCGCCAAACATATACCAACAAATAAGAATACGGTGGATGGACGAAATCCATTTCGCACTACCCGAACTAACCCTGGAATGGTGATTTCCCTGCAAATTCCAACAAACAAGGGTTTCCTATGGCTTCTTAGGTGGTGTAACATTTTGTCCATCCACAGTAGCAAGAAGAGGAATCAAACATCAAAAGCGGAGGAGCCCCCGACGTTTCGGCCCCGGAATCCGAATCATCCGAATCCGAGTCGCTGGTGTCTGGGTCCAAGGGCAACTCCAGCAGCCGAACCTCGCTTTCGAGTTCGATGTTCCGTGTTCGGACGGGCAGAACGAGTCGGACCCAAGGGAAATACCGTGGATGGCTACAAACCACGGGTTGTCCGACTTCCTCCAGTCCTTGGCCTAAGGATCAGTCAGCCTCTGGACAAAAAAAGGGGTGAAGCCAACAAAATCCACTTCGCAGGGATTGGTGTGTTTTTGCACCAGCTGGTTCAAGTCGGGCTCCGACCATCCCAAGTGGTGCGAGCAAAGTGTCCACAGTACCTGCGAAACCCCGAAGACTGCAAAAACAAACATGTTTTGGGTCGCGGAACCAATGTATGCATTGGGTTACCTCCGTTTTGAACAGACTTGCTCAACTTCCTCTTTACTGGAACCAGAAACACCTGGGACGGGGCGAGGGCGGAGGGAAGAGGCCGTTTTAGTCTATGGTTTCCTTCCCCCAGGCCAGTGGATCAGCCACATAGCCCCGTGTTCCCCTGGGCGTGGCTCGAGGGCAACTCGCCTCCCCTAAAACCCACAAACATCACGAGAAACTCACCAGGTGATGATTAGAAACTGGCCACAAAACAGGTGATGTTTAGAACCACCCAAAAAGGGAAGTAATGAACCCCTCCCTTCAGTCCCTCCCACCCCCCTCTTCACTTTGTTGCTTTTTTGTGTTCGGCTTTAAAAAGGGAAGTGCAGGAATGGACCCCTCCCTTCACCCCCCCCCCCGCTGCACTTCCCCCTCTGCACTTTGTCGCTTTTTAGGCTTCAGCTTCTTCCGAGGCGCCGTCTCCTGGGTGTTGCCGGCGTGCGCGGCGGCCAAGATCTCGGTGGCCAAAGCGCCGACAGCCTCGGGGACCAGGAAGGGGCGCAGCACCGCCACCAGGGACTCCTTGTAGGTCGGCTCCCAGCCATCCTCCAGCACGCCTCGGTTCACCCCAGTGGATTCTCAGGGCGAAAAACATGTGCCCAAGATGGGTTGTGTTCTTTTTCGACATTTGATGTTGAAGGAACTTGTTTCAACAAATGTTTCGGTATCCGATGTTCCTGGAGTCTCCATGACTCTTAAAAAATGGGGTCATGACCCAACACAAAGGGGTCATCACCCCATTTTTCAAGGGTCATGGAGACTCCAGGTTAGTTCACCCCAGTGGACTTTCGGGGGGACACAACATGTGCCCGGGATGGGTTTGTCGATGTGTTTTGTTGTTGAAGGAAAATGTTTGAAGAAAACGGTGGAGTGGCATATGAATCATATGGCTGTTTCGCAGAAAGCATTCAGCACGAGTGAGTCAAATGAATCTCTGGGGGCCGCTGTTTGAAGGGATCCACATGAAAACTATCCGGAAACATGTCAATGTGCAGCTCGGAGTTGACCACATTTTGTCAGAAGCCCAGCAAAATAGAATGGGAAACCAGGGTGCCATTGAACAACTGAGAGTCCCCTGCTTCTGGCCCCATTCAGCCACAGTTTCTGTCTTTGATAACCACTAGAAACAGTCAAACTACTAACCCTGCTTAAGACACACCCACGCAGGCGCATGGCAAGCCACGATTGCCGCAGACCAACATCACCGTGCGGAAGTTCTTTACCTGCGCGCTCGCGGCGAAAACCAACATGGAGACCTGGAGACAGAAGGGAAACCAACAAAGATGCTCCTTAAGGTTTGCCCAGAGTTCCATTCAAAGGTCGAGAATGGGGTCCAACTCATTGTGGTGCACTACTTCAACCTAGTTGGCCTATGTTAACCGAAAGAGGACATATCGTTTGATGTTCAAGGATCACGCTCAAGAAACGCAGAAGCCAGGACCCACCATCCTTTTCCGGGGCAGACTTTGACGTACCAGGAGAACTCAACTAGCGAGTCTTGGCACCTTTGCAAGGGTGAACTTCCCCCCTTTCCAGGGATCCTTCTTGTCAGAAACAACACACACACACAGCAAAAAGGGATTTAAGCCGCAGTCAATATTCACAGTGCCCATGGGCGCCCCTAGCAAGCTGGACTCTCGATCAGCTATGGCATGCTATGGCCAACAAGTTGCTCAAAACCACCAAGAACTCGAAATGTTCAGTTGGAATGAATCGACCAGTTGGATGTGGAGGAAGCGGGAATGGAAAACAGAACGAGGCCCCGCTCATTGGCTTCTAACGGAGTGTCGGCCGATCACAAGCCATCCCTATTGACCCACAAAGGGCACCAAATGTGTTCGTTACCAAGGGGTTGCAACAGCCAGCTGATGAGGCTTGCGAGAAAGTTGATTTTAATAACTCAGATGCCCAGTGGCCAAGGAAAAAACTGCATCCTTTTTTGGTTGGCTGACTGTAAAGAGACACCCTTCCAAAAAAAGGAAAAAAGGGCGCCACTGGGCAACCGGGGTAAGTGGTAGTTTCCATACCCTCTCCAGGACTCCACCAATGGAAGCTGACACGGTCTTGGAAGACGACTTTTTGTGGGGTAAACTCCTACTAGAAATGGCACCAAATCCTTTTCGCAGATTTCTCCCCACATGGAACTCAAAAACCATCTGCAAAGGAACCCCCCTTTGGAACTTTTGGGATACATGTCTCCCCTTTTGGGAAACGGCTGTGGCTCAATCAAATGTACCCAAATGACTCCTTGGTAAATAGAACCAAAAACTAAAACCTGCATAGCTACCCTAGCTCTTTGAGTTTGAGACACACCCAAAAAAAAACATCTGAAATTTTGACTCTTCTGAACTTTTGGGATACAGGGACCGTGTTTTGGGACATGGTTCCACAGGGTTCCACTTTTTTACTACCCCAAGATAGACCTGTAATGACCTGGGTTTAAGTCTACCCTGGGGTCCAAAAGTGAGCCCCCTATGACCATCTGACATTCTGAACCCCCTTTACCTTCTGGGAAATACATGGACCACTTCTTTTGGAATACATGGCCATCTTTGAACCAAAATCCCTAGGCGCCCCAAAAACCCGCCGCTCGGCGCCGTGCGCCGCTCGGCCCGCTTGGCGCCTGCAGGCGCTCAGCCACCAAGCGACGCAGGGCCTCCACCCAGTTGGGGGCACAGACGGCGGCGCCCCCGGGGCAGGGCCAGGTGGCCATTTGGGCCCTCACCATTTGCCGCGCCAACTGGTCCTCAGGCAACGTTGGACATTTTTTTGTGTGACCCGCGTCTCTCCTTTTTCATTTTTTTTGTGACACCTTGGTTTTTGTAGATCCTGGTTGTTTTGAAGGGAAGCCAAAGGAAACCGGGATCTGAGGTTTGCTTTGATAATACCTTGTTTCTGTGTGTTTTGTTGTTTGCATTTGTTCCTTTTTTTTGTTTCTGGTTTGGGAGGGATGCCAAAGGAAAGCCAGAATTCTTTGGGGGGGTTGCCCCAGAAAAAGACACACGCAAATGTGTACCTGGGCCCTCAATCCCATAAGCATGGGTTGCGATGTCTCATTGGTCCGTCTAGTGGTCCCCTATTGGCTGCACCTTAGGTAACTCCTGGTGCCATCAAAGGTCCTTAAGCCCGTCTTGAGAGGTCGAATCCCATCATCCAGACGGGACGCGAACCACACGCGAACCTTTTTCACCGGCATTGGACCCCCGCGGTTCTTGATACATGAAGGCGGCCCATGTCACCGATCCGAAGCGACAAAAACGTGGGCGATGTAACATTTCATTGGTTGACTGCTGCTGTATGACATACTGTATGTTCAGTGAGTTGGGGTATGGAAGCAAACATCAGGGCAAATTGTTGCTCCCCTGAAGCTTCTCTAAACCTATATTATAATAGTTGCGACCAACTGTCTTGCCTTTGCATGATCATTGGCCCATTTGCCCAGTGACGGTCGAGATGGGACACAATTTCTTGTCTCACCTCCTGAGCGAAGTGGTCAAAGAAAGTGCAATATGTTTTTTGTTTTTTTGCCACTAAAATGGTCTTCCAAAAGCATTTCAAGCCCAGGAACTCAGGGAGTGAGTTGTTGAAGCCAAGATTCCGCTGGTAAATGGCTCTTTCGGAAGCTGAACCAGCAAGGACACCACTGGGTGCCAAATAGGGTGTTCATTTGAAGGGGGGAAATCAGCAACTCAGCTTCCCTCTGAGTGGTTTGGAGCGGTTTAGCGGATTGGCGGTTGGTTGCGGGGTGGTTTCCCATTTACCCTTTAAAAGCAAGCAGCTCGAATCCCCACGCCAATCCAAACCAACTAAGGCTTACCTCAACAGCTCATGGGGCCAACTGGCTGTCGCTTGGCAAGCCACTGGAGGTGACCAGGAGAAAGCATCAAATTTGAAGCCTGGGGGCAAAGCTAAAGTTCTAGGGGTTGAGTCCTTTTTCATTCTTCTTTTCAACCATCGTTCTTTTCAATAACCGGAGCTGTTTCCCTGCGTTTTTGATTGTTTCCTGAAAAAAAAAAAAATCCCTGAAAAGAATGGAAATGGAAGGTAGCCCTAGAAAGTGGCCATCTCCTTTGAGTGAATTGGCCACAAGCCTCAAATTGTTTTCTCCCGTCCTCAAAAAGGTGAGAGTCCAAGAACTCTGGGGCTTGGACTTGAGTGAGTTTCTGGACCTGGGGGTTGGCCTCGAGTAGCTGGAAGAAAAAAGGAAGCACTGGCCCACTAAAAACAAATTGGTTGGGTTCATATATCATATAACCATTAAACTTACCCGAGTTTCATCATCCGACTTGGGTCCCAAGTCCATTCTTTGGGTCCCATTAAATCAATGGTTCGGATAGTATAACCATTATTTGTCCGAGTATTTGTTTTATAGGAATCGGTTGAAAACCCCACGGGAACGGCGCAAAAAACCGTCGCTCCTCCGCCCACTCGGCGAACTCCTTTGCTGTGAGCACCTCCTGGCCACTGGCCAAATGAATGCAGGCCATGGCGCGCGCTCGGGGCCGGGGCCGGCCCGGGCGGGAAATACTTACGTGCTGATCTTCCGTGCGTGCCCCGAATAGATAAAATGTATATATATATATATAAACATGCGTATAATATATGATAATATGCTTTTATTTTACCCTGATATTTTGCTAGTAACTTTAAATACCCTGTACCCCATGGATGTACACCCAGAAGGTGGCACGGAATCCCCAGAAGGCACGTAGATATTTCCCTGGATTCGGTGCGGCTCTTGTGACCGCCGAGGTGCTTTGAACCAGACAAGCGGCAGAGCCAAGTGAGACGTGGCTTCCAGCCCCATTCTCGGCAACCATCCTTTCGGTTGTTTAACGGGTGGCTCCCTTGGTTACCTACTAAGGAAGATGGATCCAGAGAGAGAGAAGAGAAGAAAGAAACATATAACTCCCTGCGTTCCCAAATTCAAAAAGTACATTAAAAGAACAACCTCAATAACCAAAAGGACCTGATCTGAACACTTGGCACCCAAATGGTGGTGTTTCGTATTGCTCTTTTACGGGGAAAACTAGGACTCGGACCCCCTGACTGAGAGAGCAAAAGCAAGGGAAGCAATATCAGGAATGCCATGAGAATTGCCAGTGGGCATCGATCACTTGGAAAAACAACAGCTTCCCACATGTCTAGAACCCTATGGCATCAAAGGTCGTGTGGACCAGTCGACCAATGCGTGGGCGGAGATGCCAAAACTCCGAACTTGGATTTGAGCTTGAAACGGCACAATCTCACAAGCCAGACGCCAAACGCCAACAAATACTCGCTTGGTTTTCGTGTGGGTGGTGTAAATTAAACCACAAGGATGTGGACCGCAGGTTGAATCGTCCATGTTTCCGGGTTCTAGTTTGGGGTTACCCCATTTTGCCGACCACAGCCATGTGTCTAGGTGCCTCTAAAAGCCTCAAGCCCAAAGCTGTCGCAAGCCGACGCTGGCGATTTCCGTCGGAAGGCCTGCTGAGTCAGCTGGTCCGAGTCACACCTGCGGCGTTTGCTTGGCGAGTTTTCGCACCGTCAGTGGGCATCCGCACAGTGTCCTGAGGGGTTGGGGAAACTTCCACTGGACTGAGCTGGATATTCGCTTCTCACCTGGGACCCTTGGTCATGTAAGAAGGGGGAGGCTCAGCCCTTGGTACAAAGCGAAGTCTCTGCAATTTAGGCACGTTGTTGGAAGCAAAACCAGTAAGAATCGATCATTTGGACCCAGGCGAGAGCGGCACGGCCCGCACAATAAAACCTCTCATGACATGACTTACTCTCACAGAAATCGTTGCAGCCAGGACATGTTGGCGTTGCTACAATGCAAACCAACAAGTACCCTCCCCCCCACCCAATTAACATGGAACCAAGCAAACCGTCTTGGTTAGAATGTCCCTTGGGCGGTGCCCTTTTTGGTCTGCATCTGAATTTGCAGAGTGATGCCTCGAACCTTTGGGTGGGGTAGGGTGGGGGTGGGGTTGGGGTTGGGGTGGGGTTGGGTGGGGCCATGGTTTCCCATGTCGGGCCCCGATCTGGGCCCCCAGCTTGCATGTTGCACTCCTTCACCCGAGGGCTCCGGTGGCTTCTTGATGGTACCCCCCTTCTTGGTAGGTTGTCGTCCCCAAAGAACCACTCTTTTGGGACGAAAAAACTTGGGGACCGAGTTGTTCAGGTGGTAGCCTTTGGGCTTCGCCTTCAAACCAGCCCAACAGGGGGCCCCCTGTTTTGAGACATACCCAAACATGTATTGCTTGAACACCGTCTCGGTCATACCATCTCAACAGGGCAAAGATGAAGGACGTTGAGCGAACGTTAACCTGGGCCCTTGGTTTTAGCAGGGAGGGGCCACACAGTCCTTGGCAATTGGGCCATGTGTTCGTTGCACGCGCTGCATGACCCTTGGAAACCTACTTGAAGAGTTCATGAGAAATTGCCACTGTCGAACTTGGGTATGACAGGTTGCACCATTCAGCTTCCCTCCAATTGATGGTTTGGATTGGCGGTTTGGTAGTTAAGGAGAGGTTGCCCGTGTGCCCTCTACAAGCTCCAGGGGATCGAATCCCAAACCACCAACTAAGGGCTACCTCAACAATGCTTACGTGTTGATCTAAGACTTAAGAGCCCTGAAAAAATGAGAAAAACACAGAAAAGACAAAACAACATCTGAAACACGTCATGTTAATCTTGGTTGCCTTTTGAGTTCGGAGAGCGATGGACCAAGATCCATGGCAAATGAGTGTTGAGAAGAACTCGGGGACTGCAGGAGTTGGCTTCTCTTTTGCCGCCCCATTGAAAAGAGCACACCTCTCCCCCCCACCCTTTCTTCGCACTCCCCTCGCAACTCACTTTTTGAGTGAGATGGCCAAAACAAGTCTAAACTGTTTTGTCTTTTCGACTTCTCAAAAAAAGCTTGAAGTGGCTTAAAGTCCAGGAACTCGGGGAGTGAGGCAAACCAAATGACCTCCAATTCCCGGCCAATTCCCGGCCTCCTGCGTGTGAGCCCCCGGACCACCACCCGCTCCTCCGCGGAGAGCGTCGGGGCTTTGAATTGACTGCCCGGCGCCAGCTCCTCGCGCTCGCCTGGATCGATCTTTGCGGCCCCTTCACTACTAATCTTGGTTGCTGTTGACCCCCCTGCAAAAAGTTGAAAACTGTTGGGGGTTGCGTGGAAAGCACCTTTTTTTCCAAAAAAGTTGAAGTCTAAAGATCCAACCCAATAGCAGTCATGTAATGTGGGACACGCTTTAATGGCAGTAGCCTGTATTGAGTCCCTCCCAGACCCCCAGCATCTTCCCTAAAGAGTGTTCGGGGGGGGGGGGCGTTCACATTGAAGCAGGTCCCACATTAATTAAACATTCAATCAGGGATCTTTGCTTCAATCTTGGAGTTCAACTCAGTATAGTCCTTACTAGTGTGGCCAGTTTGAAGCCGGGAATAAAGAGGGTGTCCGCTTGCGAATGGGGCAAAGAGGAAAACACATAACATGCCTCAAACTGGAGCTAGCAATCACGGCAGGGGCTCTGTAATTGGGGTTCGTCTGGATACAGATTGAGGGTGCACAACAGGCGAGGAGCAGCTGACGAGTGAAACTGGCAGAGATCCCTGTTTCGGGAATTTCCGGGGAGGAACTGAACAGGCACAACTTGTGTCCGCTGAACAAAAAAATGTGGATTCCTCAAAATGGGTGGACCCCTGGGTTCATTCCCACATTCCCTACTGAGCACCAGCAAGTTGTTATGGAATCCCGAATGGAGGCAGGTACAAGGGGAGATAGGTGGTTGAGACCTTCTTTCGCTTGGCTGCAACGAACACCTTTCGTTGAGCCCTTGGGCGAGGATGTGGCTCGAACACGGTCATCTTTATCACGGCCATGGGTCAAAAGCCAAATCGTACCCCTGGTGAACATACCAATCCAACCACTAAAATAGGTTCTAAAATGGGTGGTGAATTCACCTATCCCAAAATGGTACCATTGGTTTGACCCACAGCCAACTCACTTGAGTCATGCTCAAAACCCGGGAGGTAAAACAGTCTAGCAAGCACCACGTAAAAACATGTTTCACCGGCTGCACCCATGGTTGGGATTGTCGCTTGCTACCCTTCATCTTCCCAGTTTTCAGGACGTGGCTCACTGCGAATCGGCCAAGGGTGATGCTTCTTGTGCCCTGTGCCACCCGTGAAACGGACCCGTGAAACGGACCCGAACTGGAAGTTTCGGGCATCGGCCTGCCAGGTGACAAAGCTTGGAGTTGGCCAACAGGTCCTTGGCGCCACTGATTCTGGGTGAACAATAGTATTTCACCCAGCCTGAAATAAGGTGGTTGGGGGGCCATTCTCAACATAAAACATCGTTATAATTCGCCCAGACTGATTTCGTGTCTGGCCGCACCGCTCAGGACTCAGGACTCCTTTCTTGCGATCGGTGCCCAGTAGGGAATGTCGGGATGAACCCGGGACCCGGTCCCCTGAAAGGAAACGACAAGGGAGTGTTTATAGGGGTCATTCCCTCATTCCCTGCTGAGCACCAGCAAGTTGAAGGATCCTGCTAAGAACATCACTCATGGCCTTGGTTGGTTTAACAGAGCGACTGAACAATTCGGGGGAGAAGCTATGGCGCGTTCCAGGTGAGGTGCCCGCACCCCGCGCGTTACCCAAAAAACCTAAAAAATTACGCATTCTTTAGATTCTGGTTCAGTCATGCATGGTCCTTCAACTTGTGTCATTTTTGAAGTCAGAGGGGGGGACTGGGACACAAACGTGTGTGGTTCAAGCTTCTCAAGTTGAGGCTTTGGTGCGGCAAGTGTTCAAAACGGGGGATCCCTAATCCTGATCCGTATTGGTCGCTACTACAAGGGACACCACTCCCATCTGGCGGCAAACATTGATGTTGCGGGACACGGGTGGCTCCATGTCTTATATGGGTTTGTACCTTTTGAGGGTACCTGTACCTTTTGAGGGTACCTGTTCAAGGCAAGCCAACAAGCAAGGAGTTGTTCCTACCTTTCTGGGGGGGTCCCATCTTGATACACCACATGTTTCTTCCACTCGAACAACTTCTTTGTTTTTCTATACACCACGTGTTTCTTCCACTGGGAAAAAACAACAACAACAACAAAAAACGACTTTGTCTCAAGTCTGAGGGGCGTGGACCTTCTCGTTGTAGACCTCCAGGAAGCTGAACTCTACGTGTGGCTCCTCCTCCGCCTCAGGATCCGCCGTGTGCTGGAGGACCTTGCTGAGGCACCCGGTGATTCCTCGGAGAAAGATTCACCGGGCGGAAGGGACGTGAGCTGAAAGTGGAGGGTCCCTTTTCCGTGATTCTCAATTCCTCAGTGGTCACAAGACATAGTGGCCCCCTTTTCCGTGTCACCTTACCGAGTGGTCACAGCCAATATTGGTTTTGTGTTTATCTCTAACATTGTCTTTCCACGAGTAAGTCGGGAAGCTTGGGAAGTGAACCGTTGGCCAATCTGATGTTCCCCGATCCACGCCAACAGGAGCAACATGGTTTTCAATCAGCTAGAAAGGGATAATGTGATACCTCCTTAGAATGTAGCAAGGGACCTTTGGCTGGTCATGCTACGAAATGCAGAGTTGCCCAGTCTGATTCTCCACAAAGTGACAAACATAGGGAGGGTTTCTAAAAACTCAGGAAGGGCCCCTCAGAAGAAACGTTTCAGGACATGTGAGCCAGCAGCAAATTTGAAGGTTGCAAAGAAAAGGGTGCTGATAAAAACGGAAAGGTGCTTCTCTACTAGTGGCGACAAGAGTGCCCTTAGTGGCAGAAACTGTTTGGTAGATACACAATGACCAAGGTTCAAGGGTGAATTCCGAGCCAGAACGTTTGTCAGCAAGGAAATGAACCAATCAAATGAGTATTTGCAAGACACTTTGCACAAACACTATGCAAAGGGGTCCACATCCTTTTGAAAGTTCACCAGATTGAGCGACGCATCCTGGAATGCCTTTGCCCACGATAGGATCATTGAATCATTGCACCAAAAGCGTAGCCGTTACTGGATTTCCCCTTGGAGAGTGGCTATTGACTGGCAACCGATAAACCTGCCACACGTTCGCATGGAGGGAACCAACCCTCGACTGCCGAGGTCAGCAAACTCTTGGACAATCCGACAAAAGTTACTTGTCACTTTGGCCGAGTTGAGTGGCTAGTAAGCTATAGCTCATAACTCAGAGACTACAGACTGCAGAGTCAACCCAACTTTGGCTCTCGATAGCTCATAACTCACAGAACTCCCACTTCGACTTGAGAACCACCTGGGCTTCTCACCTCTCAGCTCCGCTCACACTAAGTCTCGGAAGGCGATGCCCGCCGTTTCGGCGCTGCTGGGATCCCCGAAGACTGTGTGGGTCTTCCCGGAGCCCGTCTGCCCGTAGGCGAACAGACAAACCTCGGGAGCTCCCATGACTCGGGTAACCACCAGCATATGGACCGGAGGGTCATAACTCAAGTGTTTTGTTTTTTAATAGTTGGTGACCTAGACTAAAACCTACTTACAACAATTGCCCATCTCACTCATAAGTAAGAAGATGTGTAGGCTACTATCTGCGCAAATATTGACTCGGTCAGCCACCCAAGGTATGGCGTGAGAGTTCTCATTCTGTTCAACCGCCCTTCTTTTCAGCAACCAGTTGTTGCCTGGCGTTTGGCGGTTTTCCGGGAAAAACAACAACAGCAACAACACAAGGAATCGTCCAGCATGCGGGAAGTGTGCAAAATCATGCAAAATCCGCTCCGCGGCCAGTTTGTAAGTGGCTTATTTCAGTTGTCAGCTGGCGCAGGAATTTGTCAAGCACCTTTTGAGCATACCCCGGAAACCTGCTTTGGGAATGCTAATGGGAGGGTTGGGTAGGCTCAAAAGGGGCTGGAGGAGTGTTCTTGGAAAAATAACGGGCAACGAGCAATCAACGTCTAAAGTGGGAATCATGGCCGACCCCTCGAACTTGGGACAACAGAGGCTCATTCATCCATGGACCGGGATGAACTGTAGCGAGGGATATGACATCACTCACCAGCTGAAATTGTTACTACTCCTTGGGGCCGGGGATTCCTCACAAAACTTCCACGTTGGGAACCGATTGAACCAAACTTTGGCCAACCATGAGAAATATCACCAACGGGGCTTCCATTAATTACTAGCATTTAGGGGATAAAGCAGGGGTCAGTAACCCACGATCTTCGGCCTTCCTTTTGCCGTTTGCAGCCCAAGTCACGTGCTCCTTTCGCAGGAGGCTTCGCATGATGGGCCCCTGGATGCTGCTCCAAACGTCCGCCTGCCTGCCACGAGAGCAAAACACCTTGCCACCAAAAATAAGACCAACCGTTACGTCAACAGAGCCCACCCGCTTGGGGGGAGCCCACCCCCTTCAAGGGAAACCCCTGGAACTCACCAAACAAAATGTAAGGCGGGGAGGGAGCTGGGGATGAAAAAAGCCAAGGGTCATAGGGAGAAAAGGTTGCTACGTTGAGACCGAATCGGTGCCCAGCAACTTTTCAGCATCGTTGTTGGTTTGTGTCAAAGGCAAAACAGGCGGCACTGGTAAATGATCAGAACCAAACTGAAACCAGCGTCATGTTCAAAAAGCTTGCAACACAAGGACAGCTTGGGGGTGTCCAGTGCGTCTGTCGGAACAAACCTCGAAAAGGCCATGGAGCGAGGCAGTGTCGTGTTCCTTGCCTCTGTTTCGATGGGAGACCAAGAGGAGAAAATGCCAAGCACCTGGTTTGGCCTGCCGCGTTTTGAGCGCCCCAATGGGTGCAGCATGGGTGCAATATCTGCACCCAGGGTAATACCAAAAGTAGAACCCGGAATGTGTCCCAAAACACATTTCCCTTTAGAATCCATCGTAAATCATGGGGCTCCTCCAGACGTTCGAGTTTGCGGTTGGGTGTGTTCTACGGAGTGCAAAGCCTTCAATGGCCAAGTTCCTGTCGCTTTGAGTTGAACCGCAGCTAAAAAGGGGGCACTGTGCGCCGTCTGGCTCGTTGCGAATTCTGAGCCATGGCATACCTCATTGAAACACGGAGAAAAGGAATTTAAGGTTCGCTTTCGATGCCCCACGTGTGGATTCCCCCTTAGAAACTGCCAAAATGATGGCTGAAAGAGCTTATGATCAAATCCTGCTTGTTTCATAAAGTGCTGTTGGCGGGATGGGATTTTACTGCAGTGACTGGAATGCACCCCCCAAAAAAGGCTGTGAGACAGTCCCATTTGTTTATCCACCAGGCGTTGACGAATGGTCTTCCGCACTGAATTGGTGGCTTCCCCCGCGCAACCTACGGACGGCGCTTAGCAGGTTGAAGCTGTTGTGATAGGTACCCATGCAATGCAAAACGACGCTTTGCTGACAAGCCTTCATGAACAAAACGGCAAAAAGCTTGAAGGTCAATGGCCCGGTTTGATTGGCTCGCTTGGCAACATATCCTTCTCAAACATCAAGCTGGCCAAATTTGTTTGGCTGGCTTGTTCAAAGGCTGGAAAAGTTGGCAAGCCCACCATCATCACCAAAGCGGCAATGAGGGGGGAGCCTTTGGCTTCCTTTTTGGCAACAACAGCCCCAAAGAATACCACCCGAGCTGCTTGCCTGGCGGACTCTCCAAAGACCTGGTCAAAGAAGAAGGTCGCGCTGGTACTTCCAAGCTGCTGGGTGACGCACTTCTTCTCCACTTGCAGAGTAGAGTTCTCATTCCTGGCTTTGCCCAGATGCAACCAGCGTCTTTGACAGCAAAAGAGAACTCATATACATATATATATATACATATATATATATATATAATACATATAGATACAAATAACAACTTCTGGCGCTTCAAGCCGAGAGGGCACTGTACAGCTTTGAAAGACACGCGGCTTGACTCGCAAAGGTATGAGATAAGATGGAATTTCTATGGATGCTTGGCCCTTGCTTTCTCAAGCAATCCTCAGAAGTGGAACAACAACAGAGACCTGTGTGTGCGTGGGTGTCCAAAGATTGAGCTCGCTTCGTGCTGCGCTTGTGAAACTGCAATCTGAATCAACAAGCCTCACATACTGTATCTGCCGGCACTTCGTTCAAGCCGTCACTCATGTAGCCAAATGCACGCAGCTATTTCGAGTACCCACACTTCGAAACCCATCAATACCGTTGACATAATGTCCGCATCACCTCAAATTGGCACTCCTCATCTATATCACGGTTGTGCATAGTTCTGCGTGAGACTGTGTGCAGCAATTCCACCATCAGCTTGTTGCCCTAGTATGAAACGTGGTCAAGACTCCTTCTTGCTCCTGGTTGCAAGTATGCTAGGTCCTCCGGTAGCGAGTTTAGAAGACAGGTACCCTTTTTTTCTGTAGTCTATTTTCTGCAGCTCAATTTATGTAACGGCCCTACCATTTTTTTCTGGGCATGCTCATTCTCACGGTACCTAGGCCCAGTTCTCAAAAGCCACACCTACCTCCAGGTAAGCTCCAACTGCCCAGTCCATTGATTGTGTTGTTGGCTTGGGCTCAGGGGTTGGGGCGGAAGTGTATGGCACGATGCCCAGTGGATTTCCATGGGACAAAAAGAATCGGCATCCTCTTTTGGTTGGTCGACTTTACTTTAAAGGAAAAAGGAAACCCTTCCCAAAAGGTTGACTTTAAAGGGGAACCCTTCCCCAAAAAGTTGACAAAAGGAAAAAGAGCACCACTGGTTGCAACTGGGGGCAGGCAAGCCATGGACACTTGTCTCCAAGGTTCGCATTGGGGCGGACGCGAATTCCAACCCAGACGCGGTTGTCGCACTGCCCCAGCGCCGATCTCAGAACCTCATCAAGCTCCTGAGCTCAGCTGCTGCAGTTCTACCAGGAACCCGCCAATGCCCGGCCTAGATAGCGAAGTTGCTGTTTTTTTCAGCCACTGTTGCTGGTTTTTGGGGTCAAGTGGATGGAAAAAAACAGCAGCTGGCGATCCAGAAAATTCCCTTTGAATCCTCCCCAAACCCGAGCCTCAAAAAGCGACGCTCACTTCTCGATCCAAGCTCTGTGGGTAAAGCTTGGTCGCATAAAGCAGCCTTTCAGCTCACCTCTGAGTTTAGGCATCCCCACCCGGCAAACTTTGCCCACGGCGAGCGCATCCAATGAGCCACGGCCTTTTTGCCAGTTCCCTTGAGGAAGTTTCACGAAAAAGGCATGGGAGGAAACTCACCGAGTAAATAATTTTGGCCCTTTGTTACTTGGTGATGAAGTACCTCCCAAGTCTTGCGTGGTCTGCCAACCTGGCTTTCGCCATCAGGATTGAGACAGGATTGAGTCACATAAACACGTTTTTTTCTTCCGGAGCGTATCCAATCCAAGCGACCTTGCGTATCGCTTCGTGAGTCCTCAGCTCGAAATCACGTGTGCCGTGGTGTGTCGTGTTGTGTACCGACAGAAGCTGGCACAGGAAACCACCAACAAGCGATACGCTGTGTTGAACTAAGGAAGCAATACAGGCGCTCAAAAACCAACAAACGTGGCAATGCAGGGTGAAATAAACCTATGACAGTTGCTTTGTATGTTGGAGCAAGCGATACTCTCTTCTTGTCACCTGAGCGTATGTTCCTTCTGCGTGCAACTACCACTACAGGCAATCAAGACAACTATATGCCGAATGGGTACCTATGACCTGATTTGACCACGTACCATTAAAACAGGAAAGCAAAGGACCGAACCTAAGGATCCACTTCAGTCCACTTCCGTAAAGCTCGCACAAACTCAAGGAACATGACGGCAAGACGTAAACGGCAACCAGTGTCGCGCCAGCATGGCCCAGACGAGAAAGCTCAACAGCCTGGGAAGCTGGACACCAAAAAAAAGAAAAAGAAAAAAAAACAGACTCGCCAAGTCGAAAGGCACGTCAGCACTGGACAAACATCGTGGACCCGTCGAGGCACGCCAGCAGCGCTTGCACGGCGTCCCGGGTGCCCCGGTGGATGCGACGAAAGCCCAGGAGGCGCTGGGGAGGAAGCCAGCTGCCGATCTGCGAAGTCGCGAATTCGGGCCGAACATCCGAGTATGCTAAACTTAAGTAAATTGGAAGGAGGCACTCCCGGAAAAAAGTTGCTGAGCCAGGGCTTCCTGCTCTACTCTCTTGGAATGGAAGGAGTATCCCGGTATCCCCCCAACAGCCCAGAAGCTTTGCAGAACCTGGAGACCAGGGCCCACTCTCCGCTGTCCTGACTCGCCAAATTCCCAGAGCTCAGAATCTGCCGCCCAGCGCTGGACGGCACGAGAGCCTGGGCGATTCCCTGTCAAATCCGAGGCCAGTTGGGAATGTCTCGAAGATGGGACGCCACATAACCCCGACTTTCCTTCGGCTTCTCAAAGTAAGTCACCCAAGAAAGGACTCCCTCAAGAAAAAGACGCGCTCATCTGTACCCCGGTTTACATACCTCTGGAGCAAATGGGCCGAACGAGGTGGTTGAAGGGCTACGTTGTACCCCTTGCAAGCAGGGTTGGTAAACAGTGAAACAGGAGGGTTCGCTCTTTGATGAAAGCTGCCCACCTTTCATCAGTCCCACTTTGCAATGACCGGAGGACAATTAGGTGAGAGTTCTCTGAGTTATCTGCAATAAATTGTGAATAAACATGAAATGATAGGAAACTTAAACTATTTCTAGAAGAATTAACCTTCATAATCTCCAGAATTATTCCTCTCGCACCTCTGCCCCTTACATCCTGAGTCTTCCCATGGAAAAACTGTTGGGTGATTAAAAGTGAGAGGGGTCCGGCAAACATGCAAAAAACAGCCGCACCCAAGGTTTCGAGGTTCTAACACGCCCGAACATCAAGATCCGTTGTGAGACATGATGAGACATGTGAAAAGGGTGCCTCTCACCAGTGGCTCATGACTCAGCGCTGTGCAAACCATGGTGTAATCGTGAACCCACAAATACCCCACTGGCATATGAGGCAATATTACCAGGGCATCGCTTTTGGGTGGGCCGCATCAGCTTTGCGGGTTCGTGGCTTTGCAAAGTCCCAAACGGTTTTCTGGATATGGTTGGAATTATTTCCACCCATGAACATGCATAGCTTCTGGGGAGCTGGAACAAACACAAGCGGAACAACGACCCAGCCTTCTCCCCGCACCCCCAAACAAAAAAGTGGCATGTTTAATTCAGGTCCATAATGCGCGTGAATCTGAAAATCTTAAATATCTCCCCGGCCGATTTCATGGGAGCTCCCGAGACTTCTCGGAAGCCTGGGTTTCATGTACAGTCAAGTGTGTTTGAGGGAGTGCGATTTGGCCATGGGTCAAAAGCCGTATTCTTAGTGAAAATCCAAATCCGCACTAAAATAGACTAATACTGGGTGGCTCAAAATGGTACCATTGGTTTTGACCCACAGCCATTTCAAGAAATCTTTGAGCCGGGAAGATCTTTGAACTTGCTGCCCCAATCCCGTGCCCGTGGAACAATCGATACCTCAGCAAGAACTGTGGACCTGCCCAACTTGCAGCCCAGCGTCTGGGCCAAAGGCCGCAAATGCGTCTGAATCCTCCATGATGCTTTTCCAATGCCGGCCTTCCCCCCTTGAGCCAAACGAAGATCGACAGCCAGTTGCTTACCCTGCAAGGATACCTCCCACCTGCTAAACCAAAGAACCGAATCATCAGCTGGAAGCGATAGTCTTGAATTGACCCGAAGGGAGCAAAAGGAAGGCGATAGCCTAACTCTTATCCACAAGGTTTGGTCATGAGCCTAGCATCGATGTAGTTCTGAGCTCTCTGTTCCATTGATCTGAACCAGCTGGAAATACCCGAAGAATTAACATCCCACATATCCCAACCAAACAGCGCAGAAATCAATCCACTTCTGGGTGATTTAGTACTTCAAATTGGCAGATGCCAAATATAGTCATGTAGCAAAGCCCAGCAAGAGCATTCCCGGAAGAATATCAGTTGCACAAACAAAAGCACTACCAGATTGCGTCAAATGAGGTGTGCTGCTTGCCGAGGGTACCCTGTTTAGGGGTGCGCTTAACGACAAACCAAAGGCTAACCAAACATGTTCAGGGATGTTCAGGGAAGATTCCAATGTGTGTGTGTGTGTGATTGTTGGGTTGTCTTTTCTTGGGGGACCCCCCCCAAATGGTGGTTTTTGCTTGGGTTTCCTTTAAACCACCAAACATTAAGTTTCCTCACAAAAAGACACACCAAAGTAAGTCTGACAGATTTAGCGTTGCTTCCACTTTGTTTGTTAGCGGAGCAATAAGCTCCCCGGCAGCGTTTGAACTTCGGTCGCTTCCCAAATCAAGTAGCAAGCTCAAGCCCAACAAGGGACATGTTTGCCGAGTTTTACTACCAGGGCAACAGAACCTGCTTCCAAAGCTGGTGCAACATCCGAGAACGCGGTCTTGGACGCTGCGTGGCTCAGCAGCATGCAAACATACAACAACATACACAGTTGTTTGCATCATGGTGGATATTCCCCGGGTGAGAGCGTCCTGTTTTGATCGAATTTCAAGCACTAGTCGGCCAGTGCTAGGACCATTGCAGGCTTCTTAACAGTTTCATGTCATCAACTTCAAGAGGCACCACAAAATGAAAGGGGCCTATGGGCTTATCAAGCAAAACCGCAAATCAATTGCGAACGTACAGTTGCGGTGACTATGGCTCCTCATGCTTGAGGCTCAAAACGGACCAGAGCATGCACACAATCCCTAAGAACGTTTGCCCTCATTACTTCCGTCCAAACAAAAGGATCAGGTTCTGACACAGTGCCAAGTGACATGGCAAACAACACTTAGGCAAGAGGCAGTTGTCCCTGATACTAAATGCATGATGCGGCAGCAAAGGGGGCGTGTTCTTTAGCTGAGTTGCCAGTTCCCTTTTGACCGGCAAGCGAAACGAACCAAGGGAAGGGACCCCAAAACACACTAGCCAAAAAGCAAGGGCTTTCAAAGCTTGTAAACAGGGCAAGCAAAAAACAAGCATCGGCTTGAGTGGAGCAATTTCTCTCATCCAACGGGAAACTCTGACATGACCCCTCAGCCATGAAGGGACAAATTTGGCCAACATGGCCGCGCCCTTTAAAGCAAGGTGTCGCCAAAGCGCCCGAAGCCGGCGAGATATCAACTGAACTCAAAAAAAATGCCATTGTTTTGCCCTTGGGGGCGAGCGCACAATTTTTTTTGTCGGGTGTATTCCACAAACTAGTGATATGCCAAGGGCATGTGTCACGGGTACTCCTGGGGCACACAATTGAGCACTTACAAAGTAGTTGGTAAACGAATTTAGAATGTCGACCCCACAGCGATTCAGCAACCAGGGGTTGAGCAAGGGTCAACGTTACCAGCAAGTAGTGACTGACTTGTCAAACAGCAAGCTCCGATAATCCTGGGATCCCTATAAATGTCCCCGAAGCAACAAACATCACACCACCCAAAGGAAACTCACCTGCAACCGGCATATCCACGAGTTTATTTATAGAGATTCAAACACCCAGAAATGTCTGGGCGTTTTGGGTAATCGGTACGATTGGAGGACAACTGGGCGTTCTAGTACGAACCGCTGGAAAACTAGTACGAAGGCCGGCATGTAAGGTGCTGCCGGCCGTTTGGCGGATATTTGAACCAACAAGATCTGACACCATATCAATATAGTTTCCTTTCTCGGTGCTTGCATTTCCCGTTGCAAGCATGACCCTACATCGGTCCCCAATCAGGGCATGCTTTTGAGCGGGCAGTGCTGCTTTTGAGCGGGCAGTGCACGCAAACAAACCCAATTGACCCACTTTTTGGGATTTGCGCTTGTTTGCAGTTTTTTGAGGGTGTTTTGCCGGTTTTTGGGCTCGTTTTGCGGCCAAAAGTGGTACGAACAAAGAGCATTTCTCACCCGAAGCATGTTTAGACTAGACTTGCTCCGCTTTGCGCACCACTCCCCCGCACAGCTAGGATTGAAGGGTGTTGATGGAGGGAAGGATTTGAAGGGTTGTCGAGTTTAAAAGTTTCCGAAGATTCGAAAATCAGGTTTAGTGGGCAACATCAAGCTGAATGAGAGAGACAGACCTGTGCAAGAAGGAAACACCCAATAATTCCAATTTCTAGGCGTCTTAGTCGTTTTGCGGTAAAAATGATACGAACCAGGCAAAAGCAATACAATGACCAAAACACCTACTTTTTTCTAGTCGTTTGAAGCTGCAGGATATGTATATATATATATATATACACATAATGGGCTAAAAAGAAAGGAGAGCCAGAGCCCGCACTTTCCACCAGATAGTCGGGAATGTGTCAAACTAGGGGGGACCTCCAAGGGCGATGTTCCTTCGGGTCTCTTTAAACCGACCCGAAAAGGGTACCCGCCCCAAACAAAGGTACAAACGTTTTGATTTTGCCGCCAAAAGTCCAGGATCTCAGGAAGTGAGCCGTTGAATTCCGGGGCCTCTCAAACCGGTGGAAATGGCGGGCAGGCCCCCGACTTCTCCATCTCGGGGTCCAGGACAACCTTGTCCGCCTCCGCCGGAGGCTTCCTGAGGAACAAAACAAAAAACGTTCCGAGAGCGGGCCTGGCATTGGGAAAACTTAAAAGAGCTCCAACCGAGCCAAAGGGTGACCTTTTGGGCGAACCAAAGCATGACCTTAAACATGGCCTGGAAGATGTGATGCCTTGCGGGCGTCATGGACCAAGCGCGCGAGCAAGGGTGACCTTTTGGGAACGCAAAGGAGTTTGTGGAACCAAGAAGGCTGTGAATTTGAACTGGTTTGTCATGGGCCAAGTGTTAAACATCTTGAGACTGGACCCCCCATGATGGGAAAGCAATAGCAGGCTGTTTGAACAACCCTATAATTCACTATTGAACAACGCCGAAAAGAAGCTCCCTCACAACAGGCAACGAAAAGGTCATGTTGGAAACCTACAAAAGCTGAAACCTATTGGGACCCCTATTCAAAAATCGTGGGTTTCATAGGGACAACGAATGGCGCAACCTGCCTTGACCGAAAAGGCAAAGGCCATGTCCCTGACTCCGAGAGCACTAAGTGGAGAAAAGGGTTTACATGGCTTCGTTGTAATAAGACACCACATAATCATCCATGCCAATGCATATACATTGTGCGTTTAAATCTACATGCATACATATATATATATATACATATGACGCTGAGCAAAACAAGACATTGCCGGTGTTTAGGATTTATGGTACTTCAATCCAATGTGTTTGCTCAGTAAATCACATATATATATATATACATATATATATATATATATAACAATTTGTTATGCAGAATTTACCAGTGTGCTGACCTCCCCCCCCCACAAAACCTAGGTTTTAGGGGGGGGGGGTACCATATATATATATATAGACACGTACATCATACGCGTTAGTCGCCCCATCGAAAGGGACAAAAGATGAGGTGTGAATTTTCCAGCGTGAGCCACACCGTCCGATGGTTGCGGAGGGTCTTTCCACGGCTATCCTTGTTTTTGTTTGTTTTTTTCATTGTGTTTTTTCGTGTTTAGACGCTGACATACAGTACGAGCAAAACAGATCCAACCCCAGAACGCAAACAATCTACCTTTTAAAAGCGACACCATGTTCCAGTGTGTGACTGCTCCATGTTAAATTCCACTGACAAAGGTCGCAATATGAGGGCCAAAATTAATCAGAGTGGGGTCGTGGTGTCTTTAAGACTCACTTCCCGAGCGGATGATCCAAACAAAGGCCATCCGTGTTCTTCACCACTACAATGGTCTTCCAAAAAGAGTACAGTCCACGAACTCAGGACGTGAGTAAAGCTACAGTTTATTAGGGGTATAGGGGTCGTCTATTAGTAGCTTTGGTTGGCTGGACGGTGCCTTCATTCGGGCATCGACATGGTGACGGGTTCTGAGCGCAGACATGAAAGGAGAACCTACGTTAACTGCGGATGGACGAACAAAAACGCAAGGAACCAGCCGGGACTGGTGGTTTACCCCAACACCAGTTCACCAGTTCATCCATTGGTCCCTGGCGTCCATTTTATACATGCCCAGTTCAGGAGCATGGGGCCCCACCACTTGTTCAAGCACCTTTGAACATCTTTTGAATAAACACAGCCTCTAGGTCCTCCAGTAGAGAGGTTAGAATAATAAGGGTACCCTTTTTTCTGTAGTCTATTTAGTAGGGGAACCCTCCACCAAAAAAGGGGAGAGAAGGGCACTACTGGGGCACCTAGGGCTCCTTTTTGGCTTCCGTAAGACGGCCGGAGTCCACATTGTAACCGCGCTCCCTTTCGTTCCGAGGCACGGAGTAAACCGCTCCAAGGACGCCTCCGAAGAACGCAAACCCTCCAGAGTGAACCGCTCCACAGCCGGAACCGTTCGACGTTTTGGGGGAACTGGTCCTGGTTTGGACCATGTTCCTTTTAAAGGGACGTCAGGTTCCACGTGAAAAAGGTGGGAGGGTATAGTGTACACCAAAAAAAAGACAGTTCCTTTTAAAGGGATTCCACGTGAAGAAGATGGGAAGGTACTGTACACCCAAACAAATAAACGTCTTGAGTTGTTCCATATTTCGTCCACCTTGAAACATAGCCTAACCAACCCGGGTAGGCCAGGTTCTTCGCCTAAGGAAGTCAGCTTCAGTTCTTCCATACGGTGGATGGTTGCGAAAGCAAACCTGCACCGGCGAAGAAACCCTGGTGTCTGATTCGATTCCGCTGAACATGCCCAATGTCAAACAATGGTTTCAAGCATGGTTTCCAAGTGGTGCGAACGGATTTGGTCAATCCACAGCATTAAGTCAACCTTAAACATCTCATACTTTCTGAGAAATTCTGAGAAGGCCCCCTTCCCAGTAACTGGCTTCTTTGTTGCGATTCGGCCCCTGTTTGCAAACTTTGGTAGGGGTTCGGATCGAACATCTCCTGAGAACCATTCTGGATTCAGGCAATGGCCCACCAGTCTGACAGAACGACACCGACAATTCAAAGTAAGCCTGCAAATACCCACAAGGCATGCCTCGCAAAGGATCAAACAGGAACCCCTCTGTGGCTGTTGAATCCGGGGTCTGGAACATTTGAGCATATATAAAGACCCTCAACCTCTTGAGTTCAACCGAACTCTCTTCAACCAAACGCATGTGGTGATGGCCCCCAAGAAAGCTCATGTTGCTCAGTGGAGCACCAGGGCTGTGGGAAACAAAGCACTTCTCCCAAAGACCAACCTCCCAGGGGGAGATTCCCGTGTATCACAGGGGGATAAACCCCTTGTGATCCCACAACTTGTGAAACGCAGATGTTCCTACAAGGCGAAAGGTCAAGAAACCAGCCAACAGCCAAGAGCCGCAGACTACCGGGGCAGTTCAATCGGTTGCCGAATGGCAACTGACTTCATTCCCTCACCACACATTGGAACCCAAACCTCTGTAAGTTCTGCAAATGCAAGATAAAGCTGGCCTGCACCCCTCAAGATAGTGCAGTCTGCGCCCTGTAGCTCATCTTATTCAACTTGGGTAAATTGCTACTCACAAACCGGACACAAGAGAGTCCCCTGCTCACTTCCTGAGTTGATTGGCCAGAAAAAAAGGCCAAACTGTTTGTTTACCAAAATGGTCATCCAAAAAACTGACCAAAGTCCAGGAACTCAGGGAGTGAGCCTGGTCAAGAACCTTCACCGTGGGGTGAGCTCGCGTTGCCCGCAGGCAAGCTCGCCAAAACAAATGCGGACGTAGCAATGGTTGAGCAGGCATTGCACATTCAGGCCATGTCACGTAGTTCAAGCATCAAACATCAAATGCTGTGACAGGGGTCAGACATGATCCTCATGAAAATCAGCCGAACAAGACAACCAGCTCGTTATCAAGGGGATGAGACACCTTCTGCTCATTCTCCGTTATTTTGAGCAAGGGTGTCAAATAGGGGGCCTGGAAAACTAATTCTAGCAGTTTTCTTTTGGACGAACCAAACATTCTGTTGTTTAGCACCCAGAGAAAATGCAAGCACCGCTGCCACAGCCAAACAAAGACGGCCCAATCAGTCCTCCACGGTGTCAGTCGACTCGGCGCGTGGAAAAAGGTTTTGGCTCGGGTCTCGCCAATGACTAAGGCGATACAGTCAGGCCCAGTTTCAAACAAAATCACTTGTTCACTTTGAGCCGCGTCTCAAATGTAAAATATTGTCCCCAAGGTCTACGCCATAGGAGGTCGAAACCAGGACAACTTAATTATGCTCAGAGCCTCATGTTTTGTCACATTGGACAAACATTGCCAAAGGTCCATAGAGTTGTAGGCTAGATGGTTCAGGCGGATCTCCTTTTGGGGGCGGGGTCTGGTCAAGCAGCACATAAGTTCAGCATCCAGTCACCAGGCATCTTTCAAGATCATAACATGTGGAAGAAGATGTAAAAGAAGGCACCCTGCAGGGATAGTGGATTGGGCAAATTCTGCCCACCCATAAACATCCCCAGGCGTCCGTGATATCTGGAGGAGGAACTAGCCGAAACCAACCCAAGTAACTGGATGATATGCCTTACTAAACAAAAACGGCGCTGGCAGCAGCCAGTGAGACAACTGCATCCAATCATTTGTAAGTTGCTGCTTCTCCTCCATATCTTTGAGCTCTGGTTGGCTATCCGCAGATGAGTTGGTGCCCATGTCAGCTTATGACTCCCACAACCTGCAACGCGCTTCTTTCCCCCGTTCCAAGCTTCCTGACAACCCTGTGATAAAGCATGACTCTGACATATGGAACAACATACCTCTCATTACTTGTGCAAACTGATTGTTCGTGCATTGTATCAGGAACAAGAGGCAGCCGCCCCCGAGGTTGCCTTCCAACTGATTTCGCCCCTCCCGCCCAGCTCAGCAAGCAAACGCCCGGGAAACAAGTGAGTCAAGCAAATCGGAGCCCATGCTCGGAGACACCCCTGTGTGAGTCATTCAAACGGATCCAAATATTTTGCACACAAGCGCACACACATATACATGCTCAGAGGTCAAGGAGGAAAACAACAACATGCTGATCCTATCTGGCAACCAACTCGAAGAAAAGACAATAATAATAATAATAACAAGTGTGGGAACCCATTCGGCAATGAGTCATACTCAAAACCTGGCATTAAAATGGTCTACCCAGAACCATGCAAATAATTAAACAGGGTGGCGAAGGCACCCATGTTTGGTTGGGATCCCTTACTAACCCTTCCTAGGTCCTCCAGTAGAGAGGTTAGAATAAGGGTACCCATTTTCTGTAGTCTATTTTAGTAGGGTCCCGCGCCCTCCCAACCAAACAAGAAACGGTAAAAGTTGGCACCTAGCTGGGGGACCTAGCTTCATCTACCCGAGTTTTCAGTGCGCGTGGCAAACAAAAAGCGTACAGATCCACCACCAGATCCGCCCCACTTCTCTTGGGCTCCCTGCCATGCGGCGCTGGATGACCTCGCGCAGCTTGACGGGTGGGCTGGAAGGAAATGGGTCTGTGAACCCCTGAAAACCATGCTTGAAACCTTTGTTTGTTGGCAGAACATCATCAGAAACGGAAAAAAACGAAGGGGGGGTTCTTAGGTGGTGCCGAAATGGATTTCGTCCAACGGTATTAAGAAGCGACAAACATGCCCCACTGAGTCACAATCAAAACTCGGTGTTAAAATGGTCGATCCCAGAACCATGTAAAGAAAAAAGAAGGCGAATATCCGCAGCTATTCATGGGTGGGATTGTCCCTTACTATCGTGTGTCTACCCAGGTTTGATTGTGGCTCACATCCTCCAAAAGAGAAACACCAACCAAGAAAAAGACGTTGTGAGACACCCTGCAAAATGCAACCACCTTCAATTGCTCCACTCTAAGGGGAAACCATACGCCCCAGTCCAAGGGAAACCATACGCCCAATGAAAACCCGCGAAACATCTGCACGAACGGAGCCCACAGAACTTTGCGTCGGCCTGGTCCCTGATGTTCAGGGCCGTCCTCAGGATCCACTCGCAGTCCCGATCGTTGGTTCCTGAGTGCAGGAACTTCGAGGCGTTCACTTGCTGAGTGCCGTGGAAAACGCGGCTTTGTCTCAAAGGGGGGGGGGAAACCCTCAGCTTTGACACCCTTGGAATGGAAGGATCTGCATGTCCAACCCCTGCAAATGAGCCCAAATCACCCAAAGGATGAAGGTGGCCCTTGCACGGCTCAGTTTTTCTTCACCCAGCAAGTTGTTCCTCCTGCCACCTTGTTTGTTCAAGTTTGGCATACGTTCAAGAGAATACAGATACATTGAGGGAAATTAATTTGTTTGTCGACACATTGTTGTGAATCTTACCCTGTATTGTTTTTGTCGAAAAGCAGACCTATATGTATAGATGTCTGATTAAAGGGAAACCAAAAGGATATTCCTCACACCCATTCTTCACAACCCTTGATACAGTAGCAACAAACACGTGGTTTTTGCTAAGCCCAAGAAAGAAACGTGCCAAGAATAGTAAATCTTGACAATGAACAAACAACATCTGTTGATTTGCTGTTGACACCTGCCTATCTTTGCTAGGTCCTCCAGTAGAGAGGTTAGAATAAGGGTACCAACTTTTTTTCTCTGTTTTCTATCTTAGTAGGGTCCCGTCCCAACCAAAAAAGAAAGGGTAAAAGTTGGCACCAATTGCTGGGGGAGCCAGTTTGGCAGCGTAAAAGAAAAATCAACGCACCACCCCGCGCGGATCCATGCGGATCGCTCCCAGCGGCGCTCGGTGTGCTGATGGTCCAGGTGCGGCTGCTGAAGCCGCGCTTGCCGCGCCTCGAAGCTGACGCTTCGGGCGGCAAGAAATTCAAAAGGCCGCAAACGTCACTGGGGGACACCATCCCAAAACCTCGAGTCACTGTCATGGGGGCTGGGGGGGAGGGGAGGGGAAGGGAGGGGAGGGGGAGGGAGCCGAAATAAGCCCTAAATAAGGCCTTAAGGGCTTGATAAGGGTTTATTTGGGATCCCGCCCCCTCCCTCCCCCCCAGCCCCCATGACACGGGGGGGAAACCATCTCAAAGCCTCGATTTGCGTGGTTTGACTGGAAAAAGAGGAGGACATATGTCTACTGTAGTGAAATCCCTTCCCTTTAAAACCCAGATAGGAAAAAGTGGGGGAAACTGGTTGAGGGATGGTTAAGGGATGGTTCACAGATGCCTTCGCCGCCTTTTCAATTCTGTACATTTTGAGTGTAGACCATTTTACTACCAGGTTTTGATGATGATTCAAGTGGTGGTTTGGATTGGCGTGTTGGAGGTTAGGGATAGTTTTCCATGCAAGCCCTCTACAGAAGCCGGTCCAAATCCCACCAACCATCCAAACCACCAAACAAGGGGTACCTGACCATTTGCGTTTTTTTTTTTTTTTCGCCTGGAAAAAAAAGAGCAAACATGTCCAGTAGTGAAATCAATTCCGTGTATATTATATATATATGAAACCAACCTAGAGACATACGCGTCTGTCTGGTAGAAGGAGTGCCAACGAGAACTGGAAAACAAAAAAGAGGGCACATTGTGTGAGAAACGGTCAACCTCTGTGTGTGTGTGTGTGCGTGTAAGGGAAACCGATAGGAAACATCATGTGTTTTTTTCATAACACAGCCATATATTGACTGTCATCTACGGCAGTTGAGATGACATGGGGCGCACTTGCCAATGAACATGAGGTTACTCTCCAACATAAAGTCAGTTTGGGATGCAACTCATATTGACCGCGGCCATTCCCGAGGGTTGTCGCTCGCTCTTGGGCTCGACCAATACGTTGACCAAAAAACTGCGGTCGATTTCTCTTTGAAGTGACCCTCACGGAGTCTATAAGAAACAGACCCGCGCAGAAAACCGGAATATTTTAAATTTTCTCGGGGAGGGTTCCCTAAAAGACACAACAACCTGGTGCCAAAACCCTTCCGTTGGGCTTTCCCCTTTTGGGAATCCGGGCCAAAGCGCCGCGCCGGCTTCCGGTTGGTTTCATGTCAGCCTACGATGTTAGAGTCTCTCTGGCTGGGGCTGGTAACGGGCATCAGGGGTTGGGTCTGTGGCCTTTTTGGGATATGGTTTCATAGAGGCAAGGACCAAATCCGCTTCGCACCACTCGGGATTGGTGGTTTATTTGAGCAGGGCTTCATCCAACTGGAGGATGTTGTCCGCACAAATTGTATGGAAACTATGCATCTTCCATCATCGACCCTAGTGGCACAAGCCCTTAGTCGAGTAGGGTTTATTCCATCCGCCCTCAACATTCGCAGATTCCAAGTCGGAAAAGCAAGTGACCAGAATTTCGGAAGGTGTTGCACCCTGGTTCCATGCGTTTCTTGCCACGTGATCTGAAAGCGTCCATGGGAGTCATAATCAAAACCGATGAGTATTAAAATGGTCTTCCCAGAACTGCAAAACATCACCACGGCGGCACCTATTTGTCGCAAGGGGGGTATCCCTAACCTGCATGTACCCGAATCGGATTTGAGGGCGTGGCTCATGTGTTGGGGCCAAGCATGGCATGCCGAAGGGAAACTCAACACCTCGAGGGTTGAGCGTCCTGCGGACCCCTGCTTACCCCTGCTTTTGGCTAAGCCTTGAGTTGACTCGGAACTGCAATGCACGTGGACTTAGAGCTGAACACTGGGGGCAATCAACCGTACCTGAGTCACAATCAAAGCCTGAATTTGGAGTCCACCAAAAGCCATGACAAAAACAGGTATCAAAACATGAATTTTGAGGGTCCAGGTATTTTTTTTGGTTGGTTTGAAAGGGAACCACATGAAAGATACCCATCTTAGGGGTTCCCCAATTGAGACAACTCCATGTCGATGTTCGGATTTCCTTGTAAGTGGCAGCCAGCATATGGATTTCCTGACCTGCAAACAGTGGTACAGTGAGGGAGACAAAGCTTAGGAGATAGTCCCAACCATGAATAGGTTCGGAACTCCAAGATGGGTATCTTTCATGTGGTTCCCTTGAAAAAACCAACCAAAAACAATACCTGGACACTGAAACTACGAGACACAGCCCCATAATGTTGATCAATTACCCTTTCTTTACAGGTAGTTTGAGGGTCCAAGCACCTTGTTTTTCTACTTGGAAACCAACCCCCTCGGGAAAACACAAATACACACAAAAAGCGGACAATAACGAAGCACCCCGGCCCCCACAAGTACGCTCGAAAATGACATCTCAACGCCGCCTCTTCGCCTTCCCGGGCGAAGTGGTCCCCAAAGAAGCCTCGGCGGCTCGGTTTTTGGGTCCTGTGAGTCAACCACATGGAGTGCTGTTGCTCTGGCCCTATGTGTTGTTGATACCCTGGCTGCTCTTTAATGGGAAACCCAAAAGAAGCCTGCCCCCCCCTGATTGGAAACACGCACAAACAAATGTGGCGTTCTGGAACAGTCAGTTGTGGCAGCAAACCAACCGGCTTCGCGGGGTGGTTTACACCTCGGAGACAACCCCTCCGCAAAAAAATGGGCCGAGCAAAGCTCCGCAAAAAAAGCCATGGGCCAGTTCGACTTGTTTGCGGAACTTCCAGCCGTTGAGTTCCGGACGGCCAACTTCACTGAATGAGTTCTGGGAATTGGATCTGGAAATTTCTCATGGAAGGCCTTCAAGAGAGTTGACACAGCCTGGTTTTCATGCTGGCCCTCGGCCAACATCTAAAATACTCAGAGAATAATACTAATAATACTGATAATAATAATGATAAACGAATAATAATCAAGAATCATATCAATCACAACATGTCCGTCCTGACTCTGTAGACCTGAGTCTAGTCAAAGCCGACCATGTGTCCAACACATCTCATTCCAGCGATGGTTCAAAGGCGATCACCCGACAACTTGGGACGCTGCCGCGGCTCCACGCAAGGCCTGAAGCCGGAGGCGACCGACGACCCCAGGTTTTGTCCAACGTTTGACCTGGCCTCTACTGACTGGTTTTCTCTTGGGCAAACTGAAGTAACAATGGCTCCACTGTTCTTTTCTCTTGGGCAGAACAAAATCATGAAGCATAAACATAAAGTATTGCTTGTGTGTGTAGAGGCCCAAGTTGCCAGGCTTGCTCCAAAGGCACTGGGGCGGCTTCCTGGACATAGGGACGGGGCTCACCAGAGGGTAGACAGAGTAGGAGGTACATTTCACAAGCAGGCTAACATATCCCTCACAACGGTAACAACTTGTTCCCAAAAAATGAAGAGCACCCCTCTTTACCAGTGCACCCTCCAAGCTGTGCCATTTGCAACCTTCCCATGCTTCCTGGTTCTATGTGGCAACCAGAACCATTGCACACCACGTGGCACTGGGAAGCGAAAAACATTTTACCGATTCGCCGTTCTCACACCAAGAAAAGCTCGAAGGGGTGGGCTGAAACCAGCTCGTGTTGACATCGCCCTCCATTCCTGGTTGCTATGACACTAATCGAATGAGCAAGCAAAACCAGCAAGCGGCAAGCAACCAACAAAGCAAACACACACGCACACACATTAAATCCTCAGTTGCCCAAACAACCGCCATGACCAAAAAATGAACAATTGAAAAGGGGAAACTAAAAGGCCAGATCCGGTCGATTCGCTTTGCGCAAGTGAGAATCAAATCCATGCCATCCCAAATCAAGGCCTGGATCTGCCCTGAGAGGGCTGGATGCGCGGGGGCTGGAAATCTCCCGCAGCTGAGTCATCCTGGAAAGTCCGCGGTGAGTTTGTCATAGAGACTTGACCAGACTTGACCAAAGTTCAACCCGAAACCACAGAAGTATGTGTTTGCTTCCAACATCTTGCTCGTCAAGATTGTTGAGATGGTACCCAAAGTTGGCCTGTGGACAAGTGCTTGGTAATCGTTGGTAAGCATGCTGTTAGTGGTGAGTAACCCCCCGGAGAACTCAAATTAGCCGGGAGCTAGCAAAGTGGCCTCTGTAAAGCCGTATGACCCTGATCGCAAAACGTCTCGCGAAGTCGCAAACCAGGTACCTAGGACCATCACCCCACCCACAAACAAACAAACAAACAAACAAACAAACAAACAAACAAACAAACAAACAAACAAACAAACAAACAAAAACACCAAACACACAAAACAAGCAAGAAGGCAAGCAAACAAACAAAACCGACCAACCAACCAACCAACCAACCAACCAACCAACCAAGCCAGCAAGCCAGCCAGCAAGCAAGCCAGCAAGCCAGCAAGCAAAAAAGCCAGCCAGCAAGCAAAAAAGCCAGCCAGCCAGCCAGCCAGCCAGCCAGCCAGCCAGCCAGCCAGCCAGCCAGCCAGCCAGCCAGCCAGCCAGCCAGCCAGCCAGCCAGCCAGCCAGCCAGCCAGCCAGCCAGCCAGCCAGCCAGCCAGCCAGCCAGCCAGCCAGCCAGCCAGCCAGCCAGCCAGCCAGCCAGCCAGCCAGCCAGCCAGCCAGCCAGCCAGCAAGCCAAGCAGCAAGCAAGCAAGCAAGCAAGCAAGCAAAAGCAAGCAAGCAAACAAAACAATCACACAATAAAGCAACAAACACAACACGAAACAAACAAAACAAACAAACAAACAAACAAACAAACAAACAAACAAACAAACAAACAAACATCGTACAGACAGACAAACAGGCAGGCATGCAGGCAGGCAGGCAGGCAGGCAGACAAACACACAATTACCCGCACACCCGCACACCCGCACAAGAGCACACCCGCACACACACACACACACAAACACAAACACAAACACAAACACAAACACAAGCACAAACACAAACACAAACACAAATATAAACACAGACACAGACACGGACACAGACAAGGACACAGACACAGACACAGACACAGAGACAGACACAGAGGCAGACACAAACACACACACAGAAACAGACACAGACACAGACACAGACACAGACACAGACACAGACACAGACACACACACACACAGACACAGACACACACACACACAGACACACACACACAGACACACACACACACACACACACACAACCACAACCACACCACACACACACACCACACACACACACACACAACACACACACACACACACACGTGCATGCTAAACACACGTTACCTTTGTGGACCATATTTGTTGTTTCCAAGCGCATGCAAAGACAGGGGGCGGTGTGGGGGAGGCAGTTTTCACAAACAGTATGTGACTGAAGAGCATGACTCACCTCAGCTGGGCTCGGCATCCATCCCCACCCCCAACTGGAAATCATGACAGCCCTATACCAAGCCATCTGCTTTGTATAAAAAAGTCTCTGACGCTTTTGCCCTCCCTATACATTGGGGGGGGGGTTTAGGGATATTCGTAAACACATCTCTGGTGGACATGCGGCTTTCGCTGCTTCAAGCCCCCTTGGTCCAACAGTGTCAAACTCAGGATACCCGAAGTGGTGTTTCATGATAGTGGTGTTCAAGTGTCACTCAAACAGGGTTCCCTGAAAAGTCGATATAGGATTTCATCTTCGCGAGCCCAACTAGGCAATTTGTTGCACCTCATGATGTAGCCGCAAGGCTCATTTGACACAAGTGACCAGCTGGCCGCAGAACGCAACCCCTGTTTCATAGCCAAATGACAGTCTTGTAAAACGCTCGCCGCTTGTAGGCGGCGCCTACATCATCGTGAAATCGGGTAACCCCGAGATAGGTGAGCCTGCCATACAAAGTCGTGTTCTTTGACCTAGGCCACGGCATTGTTTAGAACTCGCACGCAAAGCCCGGCGTCTCAACCCTTGCCTCTCTCTGGCCAGACGTCGCTCATCTTCCCGCGCTGCCTGCGAGTCGATCGCCGTGCAATGAAGGGTCATCTACTCAGATGCCCGGTGGCCATGGGGAAAAAAATCGGCATCCTTTCTTGGTTGGCTGACTTTAAAGGAATCGGAACCCCTCGCAAAAATGCTGAACAAAAAGGAGCGAAATCCACTGCCCACTGTGGATGGACAACATCCGTGCCAGGCATGAGTTGGATGAAGCCCGATGAACGGAAAAGAACACCTGAATTGTGTCCATAGGATCTCAAAACCTTAAGTCAGGTTTTGTGGGGGCAAAAGCCTTCATGGGTCCAAAGGGTCCCACAACTCTTTGGGCCGGAGAGAGGAAGCCTAGGAGCCAGCCACTCGGGAAGCCCGTTTGAAGATGGCCCCGCATTTGTCTCTGGAGGGTCGCTCGTTTCCTGGCGAGACGGGACGCGAATCAAAGCCAGGAGCGCAAAATCTAGGGACCCTGACCGACCACATATGGCCATGGGTCAAAAGCCCGTACCCCCAGTGAACATCCCAATCCCTATAGTTCGTAGAGAAGTGGTTGAACAATGCAGTTGTTCTCACAACCCTGCCTGAGAGACTCCATCCAACTTGGCTGAAAGGAGTCGTTCTGCCCGGAAGTTTTCGTCGCCTCCACCAGCTCAGAGCAGAGCAAGGCGCTCCTGGCCGCCACCTGTCGGTTGGTGCTCGCCAGAATGGCCTCGAAGCAAAGGCGAGCGAACGGCCGTGGCTTTGGACATGTTGGGGGGCAACGAGCTATTCTAGGGGACACCTTCCCATTCTTTCCAGAAACCCATCAGAACCCCAAGGCAAATATCCCTAGGGGTTGATTCCCGATTATTTTGAATCGTTCTTTTCAAAAACCGGATCTGTTTTACCTGGTTTTTCATGGTTTCCTGAAAATAGAGGATCCCTGGAAAGAATGGGGGAAGGTAGGGGGGTAGCGAGCTATTTTGTCTATGCCTTCCAGTAGAGAGGCTAGAATAAGGGTACCCATTTTGTTGTGTGGTCCATTTTAGTAGTGGAACCCTCTCCCCAAAAAGAAACGGCAAAAGGTGCTGGGCTCCTGAGTCGCAAGCAAAACCGATCGGTATCAACATGGTCGATCCGCAGAAAGATGTAAAGAGTTATCAAGGCGGCCGCACCTAGTGATGGTTGGGACTGTCCCTAACCTTCACTTACCCGGATTTTGATTGTGACTCACCTGTCTCCAGAGCTGGGAACCAACACACCCATGAAGGTTGGTATGTGTCAAAGGGAATTGGGCCCCAAAAAGTCGCTTCGGCTTTCCAGTAGACTTCCCTTTAATCCAACCTTAAAAGGGGAGCCTCCAACCAACAACAAACGTTTGTTGCAAATTGTGCGGGGGAAAGCCCCTTGCGGAAATGGCCCAGACTTGCAAACTGAAGGCCTTGTCACAAGGGTAGAAAGAGACTCCCGAACCAAAAAGCACCAAGAAAAGGACCCAAATGCCAATTCGGCTCTTCGACCCTTGTGGTTCGGTCATGGTTTAGGTGCTCGGAGCAATCCTGGAGATGGACAAAATCCACAATTGCACCACTCAGGATGGATGATGCATCCTAAAAGAAGACTTGGAGAAACCACCAATCCCAACTGGTGCGAAGCGGATTGGGTCCATCATGTTGAGAAACGCAAGTGCCATCCAAACCCGGTACTAAAGCGGTCCAAGCCAAAGAACTAGGAAGCCGGAGATTTCCGCGTCAATTTTTCAGGTTGGGACTGTCCCTTAACTACACGGCCATGGGTCAAAAGCCAAATCGTACCGCCAGTGAACATGCCAATCCCCGATAAAATAGACAGAAAAGGGTGGTGAATTCACCTACCCCAAGATGGGATCCCATTGGTTTTGACCCGCAGCCACATGCACAACCCCCGCTTTGACTGCTCAAGTGACTTGCCCGGCCAAGTTTGCTTTCCCTGCCTCCAGCTTCGACTGCACCTCCGCAGCGCTGAAGACCGGCCTGGGGAAAAAGTGATCCACAAGAGGCTGAAGGTCCAGGACCTGAAGATTTGAGGTCTTTTGAAGGCCCCAAACCAGGAAACTTGAGGTCTGAACAAGAGCTCCAAGAAAACTTGTTTGAGGTCTTTGGGGTTCAAAGACCTGATTTGAGTCAAGGCCCCCCCCCAATTTACAGGTCTTGGGCTCCGAGGGATGGAATCCCGCAAATGTCACTGACACTCAAAGACAGGAGAGCGTGTACAATGTACACTGTTCTCTTGCGGGCACACCAACCGTGTTTCAAAACCGAGCTGCCCCACCCCCCCTCTACCTCAGTCGTTGCAGTACCCTTTACCGAATGGCACATGGGGGCAACCAATCCGCCTCCATTCTACATAGGTGCCCACTCCTGTCCGGCAACAAACAGATGGGGCGTCCCGCCTATGTAGACTTCACTGAGAGAGTCTGGGCGGTCCGTTCTTTGGGGTCTGCTCAAACTCCTTTATCATTCGGGACAAAGGATTATGCCTGTCGTTCTTCACTGACATGCACGAATATGATGCAGGTGCACATGTTCTAACTTGAGGACACCCCCCTCTCGCATATCGTATCTGTGTGTTGGCATTTGTGTGGCCATGGTGATTGGAGCATACAGCAGCCTTCAACTTGACTTCCGGCATGACTCCGAGGGTTCATCCCGCATTCTTCACCCATCCTGTTTAAAAGCCGCCCAGCGTCTGGCTTTGGGCAATTTGTCTGAAGAGAGGGATCTCTCAACAGAATCTTGGCCCAGATCTGGTGTCCCCCCCCCAAAAAAAAGAAGAAACTCGGACTTGGTTTCATATTTGGCTTGTCCTAGAATATAGAACATTTGGGGGATCCCCCCCCTCAAAATGGTGGTTCTCGTTTCTCTTTCCCTTGACAACCCGCCAAAAACGGTGTACCCTGACAACAAGACCCATTTTGGAGGTCCCAGGAACCTCTCTGAGTGGACTGACCTTCCTGAGTGGACTGGCCAAAACAAGTGTTTAAACTTTTTGTTTCACACACCTCTCAAAAAGTCTAAAATCTATCAGCTGGGCTGCTCCTTCCCTCCAATCTCTCAGGCCGCTGCACGGTCACCTGGCTTCGAGACATGGCCGGACTTTTTTTGAGCTCTAGGGGTACCTTCCCCATTCTTTCCAGGGATCCTTCTTTTCAAGAAACCATCAAAACCCAGGGGAAACAGCTGGCTTTTGAAAAGAACAAAGAAAAAGGAAACCGTCTTCATTTATCAGCTTTGGTTATTTGGTTCAACTCCCCACACATCCAAACCGAGAAGGGCTTACCTGAGTTTCACCGGGCTGCCCGTGGCCTCTGATCTGCTTGTGCCGAAAAAACATGGCGCTGGCTGAGGCACTGCATGGGACGTCGGCCGGTGTCCACTTGTCGGCTCGCAAGTAATAAGCAATGGGGAAACTACCACTAAACCAACCCAAAAAAACAAGTAAAAACAACTATAGACAATTAGGGGAACACCAAGATAAAAGCTCGCCCTATGGTCAATCTTTGTTGTGTCCCTCATTGACATTGGAGCTTGGTGAGCAATTTAACAGTCAGCCCCTTGACTACAATAGGTGGCAGAAACCATAGGAACCGTTGAAGAATATTATATCTGCCAGCTCTTTTTGAGGGCCCCCGATCGAGCCATTTGGATGTGTCGCTTAGGAAGAATCCCTTTCTTGGGGCTGAAGGGAAAACCTGCGGGAAACCGCGTGACTTCATCTAGCATGTACTTCATCCAGTTGACAGAGTAACAGCCTACCATGCTTCTTTATTGATCAGCTTTCATCACTTCGCTCGTTCCACGTTCTTAAGGAGTCAAGCGCCAACGCCAAACTAAATGCGTTTGGACTGCGGGTCCGTTCTGCAAACACCTGAAGGAATTACCATGAATCTCCTCAGCCAATAGACCCAATGCAAAGTTTTGGCAACCACAACCTCTGCATTTGAAATGGGTAGCTCATCAAAGGACGTGGGAAGAACATGTCGTGCTAAATGAATGTCAACATCCAATGATCCATACTCCCTCAACAAAAAACGTCCACGTTTCCCGACTCACCTGCCATTTTCCAGAAACCCTGGAAAATGTGTTTGTTCCTTTTGCTCCGGGTACCCATTTTGGGGCCACCCCCCATTATTTGGAGACACGTGCCCTTCAAATCATGATATGAACTCACAGCCCCAACACGTCCTGATGTGGCACAAAATTCCATTCAAAGGATCACCCTCCTCACTACAATGCGTAGCAAGAAACAGCCGCCATGTACGATCAATCTGGTGTCTGAACATCTGGGCCACCAAATTAACATGCTGGCTTACCGCTTTGGTTTCCATTTTGAGTTCAGCAACAGGAGGGAAGCAGCCAATGTCAAGGATGGCTGCAATACGCTTCCCCAATCAGAAGCTCACGACAGACCAATGAAGAATGCTGCCATTTAAGGCTCACAGAAAGTCTCAAGTAGCACAGAGATCAAAGAAGTGCACAACGCCAGAAACCCAAATCCCCCAGTGACCACGGAAAGAAAAGGGCTTCCTTTTTTGTTGGCTAAATTTAACTCACTTCCTGAGTGGATTGGCCAGAAAAAAGTCCAAACTATTTATTTACCACTAAAATGGTCTTCCTAAAAAGTTTCAAGTCCAGGAACTCAGGAAGTGAGTTCAAGAGAAACCCCTCCAAGTTAAAGGGAGACCAATGCAAAAGCATGAAACAACAGGACACTCAAGGTCCAGGACAAGAACCCCTACCACATGTGCTACGTTGCTTGGTCTCAAAAGACATGGCATGATGCTTCTCGCTTCGCGGAGCACAACCCTGTCTTGCAACCCCTCGTGTACTGCCCAAATTAGAATAGGGGTACCAACCTTTTTTTCTGTGGTCTATTTTAGTAGGGGAACCCTCCCCCAAAAAAGAAACGGTAAAAAGGCACGATCCTGGGGGACCTACTTATTCACAAACTGGAAATCCAACATCCTCGAGTAAGGAAGCTTCATCGCGGGTCGCTTTACCCCAGGCCAGTCGTGAGCCGAATCAATATGTCCAAAACCTGAAGTGAGAGATACCCAGCTGAAGGACCTTACATGGCTGTGGGTCAAAAATGGGTACCCCAAATGGCTTGCCCTGATAAATGGAACCAAGCACTAAAACCTGCGGTCGCCTGGTTTGTTTGTTTTGACCCATACCCACATGGTGAGCTCGTTTTACCCCAATCGGTGAGCTTGCCATGAACTTGGCAAAGGCAGGGGAAGGTTGTGGAAAGTATGGGCCCGTCTGAATTAATATGTTGACAACCCCCTGTGGAGGTGTCTGCACATTTTGACGCACATTTTGACCATTCCCAAACCTGAAATGCATGCGCTCGCCAAGCGGCCTTTGGAGAGCTCGGTGCAGGCAGGACAGGCTCCATGATAGGTACAGAGCTGGAAACTGCACCGGCGGCCATGTTCTAAACTCGCGACACCCGCTAAGCTGAAAGGGACACCAAACGACACCAACTGTGTGCGATCACATACATATACCTTGAAATAACCTTAGTACCCGAAAAATTGCTCCATGCCTTCCGAATCGTGGGTCCTTCGGACCGCCTGAGCCTAGCTTTCCAGTTTGCACGATTAAGGAAGCAAAGATGCTCAAAATAGGAATCGGCCCTCAAAAATTGTGACTTTTTGTTTTTGTCGTTTCTGTTCCCCTTGCCAACCAAACCAAAGAGGCATCGTTGTTGTTTCCCGTGCAATACCAACCAAAGGTCCGAAATGTTTTGGGAATCATTGCCGACCTGAATCAAGGGATCCTTGGCATTTTCATAGCTCACTTCACCTACGGGAAAACTCACCAGAATACTGTTCATTTTGGAACACGGCCATGTTGTAACTCAGATACACGATGTGCCTATAAGATGTGTCGCTGTGGGTGTCTGTTGTTTTCATGTAACGTACATGTGTCACATATACTCGCGCATGAATGCAGCAGACTTGCCAGCACTGATATTGCCTTCTGCATGATTGCCCCCCCACCTAAGAGGGAAAGGCAGCCAGCGAATTAGCACTGTTGACTTGCGGGCTAAATTACGTTCACAGGATTCCAGTCCCACCCCACCTCTCAGCACCCCCTCCCTAATAAGGCATTCTGGAGTATCCACCCCCCAAATGCTTGACTCGCCAAAGTATCAGCTTGCAGCGGCTTGCACTGCTGCACCGCATTGCCTGACAGGACTGACATTAACATTCGCCGAACTGTGGCGCACTTTTTTGCACAGCCGCGACTTCTGCTTCGGGCGCACTTCTGAAAAGGCTCAGCTGGGAGACGAAAATCTGATACCAATGGACTAAGGAAATTATCAACCACAGTGCAACGACACCAACTTCAGGATGCAATCACTTCGGTCATGGCCCCTAAAGGTGAACCTTGTGTTTCTGTGTCCTTTGGGCTGAGCTACAAGGAGCTTCCATCTAAAGGATCCACATTCTGTCCATATACTTGGACCTCATTCCACTTAAGAGTGCTCAGATCAGCCCTTGGGGCTCGGCGGCGGCCAAAGTTCTGACCTCGTGAAAGTAAAGGCAAGCACAAGTGAAGCCGTTTGGTTCTTGCTTGTTCTGGGGGAGCCAATGAACCAAGGATGACTCACGTCTTCACACGGAGAAAAACAAAGAGCTGACTTGCCCCAAGATCTTTCTTGAGCTTTTGAAGCTCACAGAAACCCAATTTGGGGCCAAACATTGGCCAAGGAAAAACTCGGTCTCCGGTCGATTCGCTTCGGGCCCCGACATTGGAATCGAACTCCTTGGGGCGCCAACGCCGAGCTCCGACTCAGCTCCAGGCTCGCCTGGCCCGACAAAAAATCCGTGAGAGCCCAGAACCAAGGGGATGAAGGGAGACCACGGCTCCTGGGCTCCAAGACTGAGTTTTGGAGTCTGAAAACATGGATTCTCATTTTTGGATTCCGAAAACATGGATTCTCAGTTTTGAAATTCTGAAAGCATTTTGATTCTGACCGGTGTTCTTTTTTTTTTGAGTTGGGCCGCAATGTTCGAATGAGAAGCGGAGCCAAAGCCCCAAATCTGGGAGACCATTTTGAGCCCAACGGATGTGAGGCCTCCTTGAGGGCTATCTGGAAGCACCACATGAGTTGGCGGACTTGGGACTTGCCTTCCCAGGCGGGTGGCAACCGAGTGAATCGCGCGCTTCGCCTTTTTTCAAGCTGGGGTGCAACAACCTGCCGACCTGAGAGAAAGGACACTAGAGAGCCACATTTCCCCAACAAGCAACCACGTGTCCATAGCTGCTCCTCTATCTTGAGTTATGATTGAATAAAACTGTTGGCTTCTAGGCTAAAAAGCTCGTGTGTGTGTGTGAGCGAGTGAGCAAGCGAGCGAGTGTGTCTTGTTTGACTTGGTCTCCTCCTTGGGATTCGGAAAACCAGCGCCGTGACCTTGACAACCCTCACGACCTAGGCCATGGGGGAAGCAAACCTCTCATGAGCCGCATGGTGGAAAGCACACGGCGCTAGATGGGTTTCCAGGACTAATCAACTTCTTCACTTTGTATACGTTTTTTTGTTCGGACAAGGCCCTGAAGCCATCGGCTGTCGTCCTTCTTGATAGTCACCAGGCAGCTGTTTCCGCTGCTGCGGCTTCCAGCGCTGCGAATGCCACAAATACCCTCCCACCGGTAAACATGGAACCTGACAGGGGTCCCTTTAAAAGGAAGATGGTCTTCCAGGACGCCCGTGTCAGGTTCCGTGTTGATTGGTGGGAGGGTAAGTACTGTACTGGACTTGTGGCTTGCAAACAAGTCCCAAGTTTGGTAAACATGAATAGTACTGTCAAAATGCGGCTTGGGCAATCGAAATCCCGTATCCCTTATTAGGAACCAACATGCTTTTGAACAGTCAAGTCATACCTGTATACTTCATGAGTAGCGCGGCTAAGTCTATACCCGTCCCTCCATATACCAAGCAGCGGCCTTTTCCGGAACACCCGATTCGCGCTTCAGCCAGCGCGCTACGGATTATGTGAGCCGCCAAAAACCTGCTTGTTTGTTTGCCCTGCACAAATCAACAACACATCTGCGTTTGTATTTCCAACAAATTTCCCACTTCCAATCAGAAAAAGGCAAGGGCAAAAGGTGAGAGGTTCAGGTCGCTCACATGAAGGGCCACGCCTGTCCGGTCATGGCCGCCTGAGTCACAATGCCGCTAAAGGCGAACATGGCGAGACGGCCGTTCTCCAGCTCCTTCAGCCGCATGTCCTTCTCCTGTGCTCCGGTTTTGTTCTTCCAGTGCTTTCAAAATTGGTACCAACCCTACCTAGAGTCTCCATGACCCCTAGAAAAAGGTGTCTTTAACCCCTTAATTTTGGGTAATGACCCCATTTCTAAAGAGTTATGAAGACTCCATGTAGTCCACACCCTCTGAATTTTCGAGTTGCGACCTGGCGGAAAAGCTGGCCGGAACAGCTGGCATCAACTTGAGCCTCCAAATTTGAGCTACGGCAGTTCTTTGCTAGATGGTTGCATGGTCGGGTGTTCCCCCAGCTCGTTCTCACCCACCCGTTTGGACGCATTGACCATGGGGTTCAACCCCCATTAAAACAAAGGTTGACCCCATCTAGATGATGACAAGCCTTAGGGAAATTACGGTGGTTACATGAACCTCCATTGTTTTCATGGTTTCAACCCCAGGGTTGACCAATTCTTTCCAACGCCGTGTGCGTCTGATCGCAGTCCTTGGCGGGCTCCTTGGGCAAGAACTGCTTGCCCAGGAAGAAGTCCCCGGCGTCGCGGTTCACCTCCATCTCCTGTGACCCGCGCGGAAGGGAACCAGTCTATAGTCCTCCAGTAGAGGATGGAAAAAGTTGGTACCAACCTTTTTTCTCTGTAGTCTATTTTCGTACGGTCCCGAACCCTCCCAACCAAAAAAAGAAACGGACACAGGGCACGATTTTGGCAAACCTAGCATTTCTTGGTCAGAACTCGCCCCAGCTTCATGGCGCGGCTGGGGCAAAAGAAAAACGGCTCCGAGAAAAGACCTCGCGCCACTCCGAGTAACATCGCCGAGTGAAGCCAACAAAAACCGAAGCGAAGGATGGCACTGGACTCTAAGCCACTGTGACATCACTGACTTACCGTGCGCTGCCTAAGTCTCCCATTTCCCGGTGTGTTGAGTTGTGTCTTGGTTGGGAAACCACATCCAGCTATGAGCTTGATGATCATCCCAGCAACCCCAACAAACGAGTCTTTTCACCATGGCACATTTGGATGTGTCATTTGCAAGGGCATCCTTTTCACCTTGGTTTCGAGCAAGACAAAACACAGCAAACACACAAACAGGACACTTTTGGGTTCCCCAACTTTTGCCACACACCAATTCGGCCATTTCACTTGGCAAAAAAAGCAATACCTTCTGAGCTTCGTTAAAAAACAGAAAAAGAAAAGGAGGAACAAAAACGGAAGCCGAGGCGCCCAGCCCTTGAAGAAGAGCCAAAGGGAGTAGAGCTCAAAGGTACCCACGGCGCCCAGGAAGGGAGCCATGAGTCCCGCCTCCACCATCTTGTCGTGGGCCTGCAGCCAGGACCCCAGGCTGGGGTAACCGGACGGAAACTCCCCATGCGCGTTTCTCCACATGGGATGAGGAAATTCGGAACGTCCCACCTTTTGCTTGGGAGATTCAATGTGGAGCTCGGTCAAATTGTGCTTGTCTGCCAGGAACATGGGATGAGGATCGTCGCCAGGCTTTTGTAGGGGAGATTGAGACCGCATGTGGTTCCGATTGGGAGGCGTTTCTTTGGGGCAATCGAGAAAGACGACATGCTCTTGCAAAGGTACCGCCCGAAGGTTGTTTCAACAGAAATTTGGCCCCAAAATGGAGGCTGCGCAGCGTACAATTGTTGCACATACAGGGACAACCCACCCTGCAGGTGCATGATTTTGTCCATCCACACCGGATGAAAATCCGCAGTACCGGATGTTGCCCTCCAGTGCTCCCACAAAATGAGGGGACAACGCCTCCTTTGCGTCTGCCGCGTCTATCTCTGGCATGCCCAAGGTACCCCGTGGAGAAGCCCTCAGGGTCCAGCTGCGTTTGAGGCTTTCGGGGGGGAAAGATGGCAAAACTCTTCCAAAAATTCCTCGTCCTTGGCAAGGAATGGTGCCATCTGCGTTCATCCTGGAAGGTCTTTCATGGAATTATTTTTTGGGGATGGAAAGGGACTTGTGCCGTCTAGTTTCATTCTGGAAGGGCGGCACGGCCCATGGAAGGGAACCCGCAATGGTCAACGAGCGGGGGAAGAAACAAAAACTGGCAAACTATATGATAAGAATCATGTCCTTTCCCAAAGCTTATCCAACCCTTATGGATAAAGGAAGTAGCCCCCCCCCCCTCATAGGCCCCCCCGATAGTCCATGAAAGAGTAATGAGGAGCCCGAGGTCTGTTGTTCACAAGTCCATAGTAGGTGTCGATTATAAATAGGATAAGAAAAAGATCCAGCCATTCCTTCCCCCAGATGCCCAGTGGCCATGGGGAAAAAAGGGCATCCTGCGGCATCCTTTTTTGGTTGGTTGACTTTAAAAGGGGACCCTTTCAAGAAAAAGGAAAAAAGGGCACCACTGGGCAACTGGGTTCCGAAAAACCACACAAGAATTGGCCTCCAGGGTGGTCTGCACGGACTGGAACTGGTCTCCAGGGAATCGCATGCCCAGGTCGGTGGCGATCCAGCCCACCGTGGCCAGCATGCCTCGGAGCTTTGGGTTATGCATCAGCTCCCATCAGTCCCCCGCCAGTAGCTTCGATTTGGCCATGGGTCAAAATCCAAATCGTACCCCCAGTGAACATCTCAATCCCCACCATAGACTAAAATGGGTGGTGCACCATGGTGCACCTACCCCGAAATGGGATCCCATGGGTTTTGCCCCACAGCCATTTGTGGTTTGGAGGTAGGGAGTTCCCCTCCACCCCACAATCCAAACCGCCCAAGCGGTAACCTGACGCTTTGCTCCGTATGGACCCTCCCAAACAAACAATCAAGTAGAACGGGCTTAGGCAGAGCCGCTATGATCCTTTCTGGCTTTAACTTGTCTGCCAGTGCCTGGGTGGTTTGGTGGCGCAATTGGAGCCATCGGTTCATTCTCAACGTCACCAAATGGTACCAACGTTCCACTAACAAGGGCGTCACTTGATGGGACGTTCAGATCAAAACTCTTTTGTTGGGCTTAGCAAACTGAAGCCACCGCATCCCGCGTAAAAGCAGGTTGGCAAACATTACTATGGCTCACAACTAGATACTTTCGGAAACCCTTGGTAAGGAACATTCATCTGAGCTCGAATTATACCCTAGGCGAGCTCCCTAATGATGTCTGCAAACCTATAATATTAACCCCGGATTCAGAAACCCCTGCTTATGAAGGTGGGGGTGATCCTCTCCAAAAGTGATGACTCCCCAAACCGAGGACACCCCATATGGCCCATATTAATAAACAGGGGTTTATTCATCTGGGGTCAACCTTACCTCGCTTTGCTCCAGCGAGGCGCAGACGCGGCCGTGCTTGAGCTCCGCCTCGCGGACCCAGTAGACCGGCAGGGCGTCCGTGACGCCCAGGGGGTCGAAGCCCTTCTCCTCGCCCACCCAGCCCTTGAGCACCTGGCAAGAGAGTGGTGAGGGGTGGTGGGGTAGGGGGGGTGGGGGGGTGGAGTGGTGGAGTGGTGGTGGTGGTGGTCAAGCACCTGGCGAGAGATGATCTGCAAATGCGAAGGTGGGGTCAAAGCGATTGTGATGATCTGGGTGTGAATCTTCTTGGGGGATCCTTTGGTGGACATCATTTTGGTGGGGACTTACGTCCCCCAACCACCATTGAGGGGGTTCCGGACTTAAAGTTCGTAGCTATCTAACACCGGAGACAACAAAATTGCCGTGGGGCATTGGTTTCTCATAAGTATTTCGACCCGCAACCCTAAGCGTGGGCCAGGTGCAAGTCTAGAAACATGATCGGTGCTAGCCTTCCGTAAGCCCAAACCAGTCAAGCAATCAATCAATCACCATCTGTTTCGCGTTCAAGATCGGCCTGCGAAAGAATGCCAAGCATTGGCTTATGGTTACCCAGTGGAGCCTAGTTACCCCTATAGTATGTAACCAGCCATTTTGCTGTTCCCCTTGTGGAAAGAATGGTTCCCTTCAACCGCCTACATGGGAAATGGAATTACTCGGGCTACGTTGCCTGTAATCGGAAGCAACATGAACCCACCTCTCACTTTCGTTGGGCACTTCACATCTCACCTCCAATCTCAAGAAGCACATGGGAGTTGATCAAAAGGTCCGTTACATGGGATGCCCATTGCGGAAAAGCAAACAAATCAAAGTTACCAATGGCCATTTGGGGGCCGAAGGGAAGATTGACCAACCCCCTACATTCGCATGACCCCGGAGATGGAAGGCCTCTCCAAAGTGGTGTGTTTTGCAACCTATGGATTGCCGTGCAAAGCACTCCAAAAGGATGTCCTCTTTTCAAGAATCCTAGATGCGGGCTTTGAAAGACACTCCTCCTAAGGCCCTCAAAAAAAAGTCCAGTGCAAAGAGGTTGGCAAATCAAGAAACTTGGACACTCAGATCTTCGATGTCAATTGATGGACATTGCTTACATGGCGGGGGGGGGGGGGGCGGGGTTGTGCCCAACCAGCCATTTTGGAACATCCTAACTACTTGAATGAAAATTACAGTTTTGTTGTTTTCCTTTTATCTCAGATGAACACCATCGTCTTGAGGGCTACTTGGCTCCCCAAGTTCTCGTCTTCGCGGCTTCCGCTCGTCTTCGCACCTGGGGGTATCGCAGGAAGGGCACGGCCGCGGACATCTCCATCTCCTGAGGCGCTGAATTTGTCCCACTGGGACATGCAGCATTGTAGGGGTTGATGCCTTGTCCATTCCTTTCGGCCATCGTTCTTTTAAACAACCGATCGCCATTTCCCTCGATTTTTTGGTGGTTTTCTAGAAAGAAGGAAAGAATGGGGAAGTTACCCCTAGAAGCATTGCAGAATTGTACGGGGGCTGATCAAAAGATCCGTACGACATGGGATGAACATTGGCTGGAAAACCACTAAACATATTCGATATTTAGAATTTGGGAAGAGTTACGCTTGGTCATTTGGGGGCCGAAGGAAATATTGATCAACCCCCAAATATTACCGGCCCCTAGAGATAGAACCCCCTTTCAGCTGGTTGCTGTTGGAAGCAAAAACACATGTTCTGACTCTTCCCCATATTTTGTCTATAACTCTAAAATATAAAATAGTCTTGGAGGGGTTCTAACAAATTGATGTTTCTCCTGACCATTCTGAATCCGTTTGAAGAGTCTTGGTCGTTCAAGCACCAGAGAGGAAGCCCCTAACAAGGACAACTTCAGTGACGCAAATTTATCACGTCTTTACCCCACCATTGTTGTAAGCACACATGGGTGTGTCTCTTTTTAGAGAACCCAAACCAATGTAGAACCTTGCCTTTTGGTTCCCCTGCAAACACAATCACTCCCACATGTCTCACCTAGGTCCTCCAGTAGAGAGGTTCGAATAAGGGAACCCTTTTTCTGTAGTCAATTTTAGTAGGGTCCACCCTCCCCTAAAACAGCAACTGGGGGACCTAGCACATGTATCCAAAGCGCTCAGACCGCAACACTTGGTTCTCATGCGCTCCTTGGGTGCCGGGTAGGTCTCCGTCTCAATGAAGGGCCCCTCGGAGAGCTTGGTGGCCCGCAGCGCCGTGCGCCCGCCGCGGCTGGGCAGGGCGCAGACCCCAGCGTTGTCCACGAAACTGCCGGAGAAGGACTGGCAGTTGTTCAGGTGCCTCACAGAAGGCCCTTGGGCCCTTGACACTACCCCAAGGGAACTAACTCACTTCCGAACGAGTGGATGGGCCCAAAAAAGTCCAAACTTTTGTCTTGTCCACTAAAATGGTCTTCCGATGTTTGTTTTACGTCCATGCACTTGGGAAGTCAGGGAATATCCTCACCGATTGAGTGCATGGCCAAAATGAGTAACTACATTTGTTGCCACCAAACTGATCTTCCCCAATAGTATATAAAGTCCAGGAACTCAGGAAGCGAGAATCATTTGCAGTTGCAACTGATCTTCAAATCACCCAAGGCAACAAGAAGTTGAACCCTGGACTTCGGACATGGTGAGCCCCGATCCGACCAACTTGGGGCCATTCCCGGTTCACAATCAGGGTACCCCCCCCCCATATGGGTATGGGTCAAAATTAAACCACCACGGGACCGCAGGTTTTAGTCCTTCTTTCCATTTAACACTGCTCCATTTGTGGCACCTATTTTGGACCCACAGCCATATGTTTGTTCATTGTGGTTGCTACCCAAAGCAGGATACCCTAAGAAGGGCAGACACTGTGAACCCCTCTTGAGACCATTCTGGACCAGTCATGACCATTGCCCTGGGACATGAAGACAAATCTCAACATACATCTATAGGTGTGTCTTTAAATAGGGGACTCCCCTCATTAATTGTTGTTGGTCTCCCTTTAAACCAACCACAAAAAGGGTACCCTCATGCGAGGAGAACTGAAACACCTTGACCAAAGCAGGAGAGAACCTCCACGGAACTGACAAACCTCCTGGAACCTGTCCAGGCCAAAGTCCCTTGGCGTTTTGAGCCAGCTGCCACTTGGGGCAAGATACAAAGAAGTTGCTTTTTAAGGGCACCCTTTTGAGGTCGCTTCAAAGGAAAAACGAATAAGAATAATCCATTTTGGGGGGGTACCCTTATTTTGACACAAACCCTTACCTGCACTTTGAAAGGAGTTCAAGCCCCACACTAAGACCTATTAACGCCCCTTTGCCACCAAATGATTCCCCCACCAAAAAAAAACAAAAGCAAAACAAACAACGCAGGCACAACCCCCCCCCCTCCCAAAATAAAAGGGGAAAGCGAACAACGCGAGCGGGTTACCAAGGCCCGAGCCACAGGAACAAACCAACACACCGAGGCGCTGCACATACCACTGCACGGGCTCGCCCCACCAGCCGTACTTGGACATGTAGCTCAGGGGTGGCTCGCCAAACATGCCATCCTCCAGCTCTCATAGGGAGCTCGGTAAAAAGTCCGATTCGGGTTCTTGGGTGTTTAAGTGTGTACGGTCTTAGGTGTTTAGGTTTGTAGATGATTAGGCTTTTAGGTTTTTAGGTTGTTATCCTTTTATGTCTTAGGTGTTTAGAGTTTTATTTTGTTTATAGTTGGTTTGTGGGGTGTTTGTTTAACTATGTTCTTTCAATGTTCCACTAAACAGAAGGGAGATGGCTGGTTGCCTTGCAGCTTGCCCGTGATCCATTGATCGGGTGGCACCATGACCTTTTCCGGCCAACTGCCCAACTTCTCTCCTGCACCATGAGGCCCATGATCGCCACCATGGCCAACCTGAATGGATCTGAAACCGTTTCTTGAGACAACAAAAAGCGCAAAGGGCCCCGTTTCTTCTTGGGGCTGATTGTTATTTTTGCACCCTTTTCCACCATCGTTCTTTCCAACAACCAGCTGACCAGCTGGTTTGCAAAAGAAGAAACCCTGGAAAGAATGGGATAGGAATCAAGCGCTGGAGTCTTCTTTGGGGGGGAGTCCCTTTCGCGGGAAACCACAGAAAACCAACAGGACACCAAGAAGAAGAAGCCGAAGAGCAGGCTACTTTCCATGTTGGAAGTGGACATCGGAGCCTCAAGGTGAGTCCCCAAACCATGCCTACGGAGATGGAACGTCGGGGGTGGGGGAAAGGGGGGGGGAAACGCTTGAACGTCTCGTGCTTGGCTTAGCCCTCCAGAAAGTTAAAAGACATACGGTCTTCAACAGTACATGACTCGGACAGCATTGGGTAATCGGACCGGATGCCGGACGCCCATGAAAAGGAGCCTTGCTGACCGTCCCTGCCAACCCCGAGTAAAGGAGCCGTGCTGACCATTGCAACCATTGCGCCCATTCTAGCTGAAAATAGTGGACCCCTTCAAACGGTAGGCTTCCTTTTGTCCTCTGGCAAGCCTCAAAAGGAACCACACCCATAAGGACAACAACCCGAAAGGATGACATCCCAACTTGGAATTCGTCTATGGAAACCAAGGTCCACAACATTCAGCATGAGCAGTTGGCCCCAAGGTCCCCAATAAAGCCATCCAGACCATAAATGTCCTTTTCAGTTTAGTTTGATTAGAAATAGATGGCACTCGTTTCGATGGGTTTTGTATGATTTTATCCATTCCTCAGGGCCAGCTACTTTGCCCAAAGCACACCTATGATCCTCAGCCGCCTCACCCCATCCGCCTGCCGTTGTTCCGCTCGGAGGTCTGCTTGCGCTCGAGCTCCGCCTCGTCGATGCCGTCGATCAGCTCGGTGCCCAGGCCGAAGTCCGAGCTCCCGAGACCACCCGCGCGGGGCTTCACCAGCACCTGCGCCAAAAAGTCCATCGGGCCCCGTGTTTTGGCGGGTTGTTGTAAGGCTGCCAGAGAGTGAAAAGATAGCTAGTGCCCGCAAACAGACGGGAATGATATCCAACAATGGGAAGCTCTTGGTGCTTAAAAGGCGGGCAGTTGGTGTAAGGCTACCAGAGTGTGACCTGAAAACATAACTATCGAAAACCAAGGCAAAGGAATGATGTGCCCAAAAAAAGGGGGAAGCTCCCTTGTGTTTAAACCGCCTCAGGCAAGCAGGTGACTCTCTTCCGTGGATTCGCCAAATCAAGCAAAAACTTGTTGTTTAGGAGTTTCCCAAAATGTAAACAGTTCAGGATCTCACAAGTGAGAATATAACCATGGTCATGAGAGAGTTGACAGCTTGCTAGCCCACTTATAACGATGACTGTAGTTTGAGCACCTAGGAGCTTTAGGGTTGATATGTTGTCCTCTGACAGTAAGCAAGTTTTCCCAAGTTGCTGTTTCACATATCCCAAGATACCCAAAGGCAGGGCCCAAAGAGGGCAGGTTGGCAAGGAATTCTGAGACTCCACAAATGGGGTGGGCATCTTGCTCACTGATCCAAATCTAGATGCTACATGTCGGCTTGAGGCTCTACCACGGTGAGCAGAGGCGTTCACTCGCCATGCCTTCACAAGGGGGACGATGGGGACGACCCCGCCCAATGCTGGAATCTCGGTGGGCAACTTTGAGGAAACCCGAAACCGGAGCCAATGGACATAAATCCCACCCTCCGAGACCTGGTCTTTGACTCAAGGCCCGAAGACCTTCTGGTCCACCCGGGTGCTGGAAACGCATTGAACAATTTCAAACCCACACGAAACTTCCCAAAAGAAACCTAACCCATTCCCTCGCGGTGTAGTCATCTTTTGGCTCAGAGCAAATCTGCCAAAAAAAAAGCGGACCAATGCCGCCACATTTGGAAACCCATTGGACGCCCCGTTGCGGAAGCCCTTTCAAAACCCTTTAGAAGTCCATTGCAATTGGACAACCCGTCTGGACACCCATTGGAATCCCACAGCAGAAATCCGACAAAACCTCCAAAGTAAACCTCCAAAGTACCCTGACATGTCCCATATGTCATTGCAGAAACCTGTGAACAGGAAACCTTCGGAATTCTCAGTTGCTTTCTGCTCCCCTGCTAAAAATCTAACTAATGGAAACCCATTAGTTGGCAAAAAGTTGAAGTCCTAGCATCCCTTGGCAAAATGCAACAAAGAATTGTGACATGTCCCATATAAAGCCCACGCCTCATGTGCGCCCACCAGTGCCACCAGCTGCACCCAGCCCTCCAGGGGGATGGACTCCAAAGCCGCGAGCCCGTGCTGGAAGGACTCGCATCCCGGGAAGCGGAAGATCTCCGGCATGATGTACCCCACCACGGCGATCCTGAGAAAAACGGGGCCCAGACAACAACCGTTTTGGGTGGTTGTTTATTGGTTGTGCGCTGTTTTGGCTGGTTGGCTGGCTAGTGGCTTGGTCTGTTGTGACGTTTCATGTCTTGTTCACAGCTCACTTGTGCTGGTCTCTGAATCTGGGCCAGGCAACCTGATGCACGGTCTGTTGGTGTTGCCTTCTGCCTTATTAGGTTTGGGGGTCAAGAGTGTAGGTCTCTGAAGAAGAAAAGCAGAGCCCCTTAAACAACGTACTACCCATCTATTGCTTCAGGCTCCGCGCAACCCTGTCATTCCAACAAACAGCAAGCAACCTGATATCACAGCTGCTTGGCGTTCTGCCTGCCTTCCGGGCTGATCGTTGGCATCTTTACATGGTACTCCTAAGCGCGAAGGAAGCGGATTCAGGGCTTCCCTGGGTGCCTGGATTCAGATTATGGTTGCCGTACTTCCCTGTCAACAAGCGCCGCTTTGGGCAGCCGATGCTGTAGCAACTACAAGTTGGCGTTTACTTCTGGCGTTGCTGCCAAACAGCCGAGGTGATGCGCATGAATATGACGCAAGTTGATGGTGCTGCGTGGCTCCGTGGCTGTCCTGGCACTCTGGATAGGAACCTGAAAAACAAATGGCAAGCTTGCGTTGCGATCATCAGTGCAAATGGGCAAACACGAGTACTACAACCACCGCTGTTGCATGCTACTTAAACCAAGGAGGTGGCCGCATGGATTCTCAAGGCGACCAAGTCTCATTGCCACTCGTCCGTGCTTGATCTCCACCTGAGTGTAGCGTTCCAACTTCTCATCGGTGCTGGCCAAGTTGAGGGGATCGAACTTGTCCGTCAGCGGCAGGCAAACGCCCACGGCCTTGCGTGCCGTGCGGCGCGTGGCACTCGTTGCTGACGCAGCTGCCAGGCCAAGTGCCGCTGTCGCTGTGGCTGCGGCCGCTCCCCAGGAGGCGCTGGAGGTAGGCTCAGCCGCAGGGGCGGAGACGGAGACGCCGCGCAGGGAGGAGGTGGAAGTGGAGCTTCGGGGGACCACAAAGGCGAGGCCGCCGGCGGAAAGGGCGAGAGCGGCAACACGAGCCATGGCTGAGAGTAAAAAAATGTACAGGGCTTTTTTCAGCAAATGCTTGGCGATAGCCCAGGAAACTTCAGCCCAAATGGCTCTGAAATTGCAAAGCTTCGTGCAAGCGGTTGTTTGTCAGACGTCAAGGTATAGGGGACCTTTCATCTTGGGATGGTGGCTTGTCGTGCCAATCATTTAGTTTGTGACATCGCCATGCAACTCTCAGTATTCATTCCAAGATGCTTTCTCAGCTGCATCTCCGGAATTGGATACTTTTGACACCCCTGGCGTTCCGCTTCTTGGGTCCCCGAGAAAAGAACAGTACTACTCTCAGGGGTTTCCCTTTGGGGAACCAACCACCGCTGGATTTCAGTCCTTGGGGTACTCAACCCTGGCTTCTGCGAGGTCATCCACCACCCAATGAAAACTTCGAACTAATCCGGACCACTCCAACACGAGGATTCCCCGCTATAAAGTTACTTCCCCTCTTAACAGGGGGAACAGCACGAATCATGGTTGTCCGCATTCCCAAATAGACAATATCCATCTGGGATAATTCACAAAGCCGTCGCCAAACCACTGCTGCAGGATTGCCACGGTCAAACTTCCCAAAACGAACGCAATGTTGACAGAAGGGATCCCCAAGTATGGCACGCAATCCCAGACCTCTAGTGGCCACGGGAAACAAGACATCTGTTCTGTTTTCGTAGTTGACATTGAAGGGCCACCTCCCTTTCAAAAAAGACACCGCTGGGTGTCTGAGCCCGGGATTGGCTTGCGCTCCTTCCATATCCAGCGGCCGGCCGTCAATCCCCGTCGCTCTCTTGCAGGAGGTCCTGCAGCTCGTACGGAAAGAAGTACCGGGTTTTCCCTGAATCTTGTGTGCCCCCAAAACGAAAAAACATGTCTAAACGTCTCAGAACCCTCATATGCCCACGCCACAGTTGCTGTTTGGTTTATTTGTTCAATTATTCATTCACGTATTCATTTATGTGCTACTTATGGATTTCTTGATTTATTATTGTTTCATTCTTATGAATTATCAACAATTATTATTATGTGTATGTATGTGTATGTATTACACACGCGGGTATATACACGCGCATATACTACGGATAGGCTAGGAGGTGAATCCAAGCTAAAAAGGATTATAAGGCACGTCCCAGTGGCACTTCATTGTGTCACTCGATAATTTTCGGTGTATTAAGACAAACCCAAAACTTGACCAATGCCTCAATTGGAATGTGTCCTACCCTCCAAGTACTCCGGTGCCAGTTTTTCTCACTTGGGTGATTCTGGGTGAATTTCAACCCATTGACCACCGCCACCAACAAAAACACTACTCAAGGCATGGCTGATATTTGCCGTTTTTCATCGTATTTCCATTGTGGTTGCATACCCAATTTCTCTTGAGGACCATCGATCTCAAAGCCCTGTCAGGATCTCTTAGAGAGGCAGACATGAGGAACACACTGCATCTAAGACTCGTCAAGATGAACACGTCGGGATGTTTCAGTCCTGAGCGCAAGCCAAACAAAGGGAGGCTTCCCAAAATGGCCGCCCGGGAGTCCTGTTCGTTCTCTTTGAACACTAACAAGGCAACAACTCCCAACAAGATGCATATGTATATATATATATATGGTAACCCTCCCCCAATGGACCCTGGTTTGGTGCGTTTGACCTGTATTTTGTCCATGGGGGGGGGGTATTTATATATATATATATATATTATAATATATATATATATATACATATATAATCTCACCCCCCTCCGTGGATCATATCCCTCAAAGCTAAAACCCGCAATGGCATAGGCCCCCGCCTTCGACCAGACACCACTCCAAGACGGGCGTCACGAAATCGAAGGAGGCAAAGCCAGACCTTGGCGATAGAAGGCTCTAGGGGTACCTCCCATTTCCATTCGTTCCAGGGATCCTTCTTTCTAGAAAACCTCCAGAAACCCAGGGAAAATGGCTGGTTTTCGAAAAGAACGATGGTTGAAAAGAATGGGGAAACAACCCCTGGAAAAGCAAGCTTCTGCCAAGGTCCCTCCAAAAGATGGCAGCCTTTGCAGAAAAAGGCAGCTGAAAATTCCCGGTTCCCTCTGCTTGTAGCTGTGTCGCTTTCAAACTGGCCTTGCTGTTGTACGGAACATGCGGAACCCAAGTTGCTGCTTTGTGTCGAGACACTATGCCTCACTGTTACTGCTGACTGGCGATCCAGTTTGTGCGTCTGAAGCAGGGGACCTCCCACACAAAACTAGACATCACGTAAGAGGATCATGTAAATACGGGCGCATGAATAAGAAGATGGTGATGATGGTTATTTTGCCTCACAGGTGTCGGAGAAAAAAACAAACTTTGGGCAGAGATCTAGCTGCCCAAGGGCGAGGCGCCGTCTTTGCTGCAATGCTGCAGACAAGCACAAATCAGAGGCTAAACTCCTCGCTGGATCGTATGGGTGATCTTGTCATGTTTGCTGGCCTTTCCTTGATTCATTGATCCACTGATGAGATACAGGATGTTTTGTTGACATGTCGTGGGACTCTTACTAGTGCATCAAATTATGTATATTCCTTTGTTTTGTTTTGCCAATTTCTTTCGGGCCAGTGACCAGTCAACAAAAAACAAGTACACTTTTGGGCCACCACTGATAAAAAAGGGAGAGCCGTCAAGGAAAAAACATGTAAAGTGTGTCCACTGGCTGGAGGTACCCCAGGTAGAGCCGCAAAACACCCAAGAAGTAAGGCATGCCGTTTGCTTCGCCCGAGGCCTCAGCCGAAGCCTCAGAAACTTCCCCAGCGTCGAAGCCGGGCACTCTCCCGCACCGAGGAAGCACCCTCTGCCTGGCGATCCCAAGAACTACCCCATTTTGGGTGTGGCTTTGATTTCTTAGGGTACCTCTGTTTTTTGGTGGTTTTAAACGAACACCAAGAGGAAAAGCCACCTCTCTCTTGTTTTTTTTTGGGGGGGGTCCCGAAAACAAACACAGACACACAGACACACAGACACACAGACACACAGACACACAGACACACAGACACACAGACACACAGACACACAGACACACAGACACACAGACACACAGACACACAGACACACAGACACACAGACACACAGACACACAGACACACAGACACACAGACACACAGACACACAGACACACAGACACACAGACACACAGACACACAGACACACAGACACACAGACACACAGACACACAGACACACAGACACACAGACACACAGACACACAGACACACAGACACACAGACACACAGACACACAGACACACAGACACACAGACACACAGACACACAGACACACAGACACACAGACACACAGACACACAGACACACAGACACACAGACACACACAGACACACACAGACACACACAGACACACAGACACACAGACACACAGACACACAGACACACAGACACACAGACACACAGACACACAGACGACACACAGACACACAGACGACACACAGACACACAGACACACAGACACACAGACACACAGACACACAGAGACACAGACACAACACACACACACACACACGCACACGCGCACACACACACACACACGCTTGGGCATTAGTTTGCGTGGGGCTCTTTTGGTAAACAAATTTTGGCAAGGATTCACGTCCACCAACCACTTGTGAGGCGGTTCCTTGGATCACAAAAATAGCCATGTTGCGGGTGGGGACTGGTCGGGCGAACAAAAGAGGATGGAACCCAACTCTCAGGGCATCACGCCCCGTTTCCCCTGGTGCCGTACGTGCCCTTATTTGTAAGTTGTGCTGAGGAAGGGCAAACTCACGTAACCATTGCCCCTGCAAAACGGTTCCCTACCCTGCTTTAGCCTAGGGCACTTCTGTGGTCCGGTTCTTTCGCACGAGGCTAGCTTTGGTTGGTTTCAAAAGGAAGCCAAAAGCAAGCCAGGCCCCTTATTTCCGAGGTCAGGGGCATATCACATCTCGAGACAAACCCACAGGAACAAGGCCCTCAGGAGTGAAGCCAACGCCTCTTGAGACCTGATCTGCACCATGAGCACCCTGTCCGACCTTGGCCATGGGACAGAACACTGTCAGTTGTTATAGGGTACTGAGAGAGCAGGAAGGGACCACGATTACAAAGCATGTTTGCCTTCTGATTGTGACAAAGTATGGTTTGCAAGCAGGTTCACCGCAAACTCAGCCTACTTGCTTGGGCCCATACATTACTGCGCGCGATGCGCTTGAAGGTGCTGAACGTTTGGGTAAAAAAAAGAAAACCAAGGGATGGTAGACTCACTTCCTGAGTGGGCTGGCCAAAACACGTTTAAACTGTTCATTGTCCACTATTTAAAACGGCCACTCCAAAAAGTTTAAAATCGATGAACTCAGGGAGTGAGTAGAAGCCGCCTCGAAGGTTTGCGTTTGACCCGGGGCAGTTTCTACCAGACTGCTGGCTCGATCAAGGCGATGCAAACGTGGCATCGGAATGCGTGCCACATAAAATTCGTACATGGTGGCATCTTGTTGCGGAAGCAAGGGTATGTATGTGTTCATCTACATAGCAGATCAGGGGCATTAATGCCTTCCCGGATCAATAGCTGCACCCAGTCAAAATGATTGATATGTATTTGAAGTCAACTCCGAACGGTTCCAGTCGTATTGAGAGACATTTTGAAAGCAATGCTAGGCCAATACTAGACTCTAAGCCAGTGCCAAATCGATGCGGAACCAATTCTATGGCCACGATGGCATGGCAAAGGGGGGAAGCCTTGCAGAGATGTAGGCGTGACGCCTTTTCGGCACAAATGCAGCCAGCACCCAGGCAAATGCTATTTACTAGGGGGAGGAAGGGATTCATCCACAAATCTCACCATCTTTTCATGCCCATGGAACCTCAATGTTTGAAGCAACGTGAGGGTGTGTGTGTGTGTGATATAGATGTTTGTGTACAGGCTAAACTGAATAAGACACAGTTAAGAAAGCAGCCAAGAGCTATGCCGCATCGTTATTGCCAGGAAGATC